CTGGGTTCAAATCCCAGGCTAGTTCCTGCTGCTGTGTCCTAGAGCACAGTAAAATACCCAGCTGTCTAAATGGGCACAGTGTCTTTTTGGATAAAAGTGTCATCCAAATAAATCTATAACTCGAGAATGATTCGTTTTAAGGTACCTGAAAAAGTGATCATTGTGACTGGTTGCACCAAGTATCTAGTTTAATGTATTGCAGACTCTTCGGTGCATTTGGTCACCCCTGTCCTAGAGGCATACGTGTTTTTCCCCTGATTGTTGTTTATTCTTATTTTAATGACTGAGTATAGTTAGCCATGCCCCACATTCAACATGCAATTGTCTTTTGCTACCCCAGTTTGCATGGGTTGTAAAGATTTGTGATTTGTACTTTAAAGAAATGAAATCCTTAGTCGGTACACTTAGTGTAATTACAGCTAGGGCTGGGCGATAAGGCCGAAAACATTATCACGATACAAATTTTCATATCAGTCGATATCGATAATTATCACGATAAATGTTAAATCATTGTTTCTTTCAAGTTTAAAGGCAGATGTTTTCTCCTGAGTGAAAGTTGAAGGAACCAGACAGTTAATTGGTAACTTAAACAACTCTTTATTTTAAGAACACAACAAACACTTGCCAAACAGCAGAAACATTAAACAAAACTGAGGTGGAGAGTATTCAAGTCTTTTTTATGTCAAAGTATGCATGAGTACAATTTACAAAATAAATATCTTAATAGAAAAAGCTCACTAGTTTTTTTAAATTGGTTTTGTATTACCATCCAGTATTTTCCACAATTATCATATAAAAAGTTATGAAATGGAACATATTCTCACAGAAGAAAAAGCCCCCCATCCCTCACCCCAAAAAACAAGGTTTACATATATCTACATTTTTTATTATGTATTATTATTTATATTCCTATATAGATTTATATATTATTTCATATGTGTATTTCTTGGTGTTAGAATATACTTTATATTTGAATTGGTTAAATTAACCTACATTCATAAAGTAGTCATGAAATTAAACAGTTATTACCTTTATCTTTCATTATTTCACAAAATATCATTTCAGATAATATTAATCCTTCTAATTTTCTAATCCTCAAAAAACTTACTCTGATTCCTTATTGCATATGTTATCCATTCCATTTCGTAAATGTGGTCTTGCCATTGCAGTTATTCATAATATTCTGAAGAGAAGTTTGTCTTTTCCGGAAACAACACCCGTGGAGTTCTTCCAAGAAGAAAGTAGTTTGGGCACAGAGTTGGCATTTATAAATTGATTCCATGACTTAAATAACTTCATCCCGGAATTGTTTAAAAATAGGACAAAAATGGGTGTGATGAGCTTTAGTCTTCCCACAATTTTGTCAATTATATCACAAATTATATTTAGCTTGTACTGTATTATGTGAGTTTAAAAAAAATATCATCAGAATTTTCCCTGCATATTCCTTCCAAAACCAATAATTAGCTGTTGTACACGTATTCCAAGAAGCATCATTCCAAACATTAGAAAGTGATTCTGCTTGTAGCTCTTTTCTCCATTTGGATAGAACTTTATATTCTCCTACTTTCACTCCATCTCCCAACAAATACTCAATTGACCCAACTCAGTCTTAGCTTTGGGCTTGTCATACGTTTTTGCTATAAACTGAATCAAAGGATGAAATTCACCAATATTCAAGGTTCACCATGAAGCTTGAATATTGTAGATAAATTCTCAAATGATTATTTGTGATTATTTGATGATTCCCCTATCCTTTATCTACCTATAACTGAAAACTTTTATGTAATGCATTTGGTTTCAATTCTGGGTTGTTTTTAATTTCCCTTAAATATATCAAGTCCTTTTTCTCTGTTTAGTTTTACAAACAGAAATCCATGCTCGTATAGTATTCTGAATACATGCATTTTTTTACATTTTGTTTTGAAGAATTATCTAATTTTGGCAGAACGAGGGGGCCAGTAATCCATCTATCCAGAGGAAGATGAAAAAGATAAAATAGTAATCTGTTGTAATTATGCATCTGAAATATGTAAATCAGTCAGTTCCAGCAGTAATGGAAGATATTAAATAGTATGGAGAAATATTTGGATATAGATTAAATGTAGGAAAACCAGAGGCTATGACACTGGGTCAAACAGTGCCTCAGTATATTAAAGTTTAGGTTTAGATGGGATCGAAAAAATTAAATACCTTTGTGTTAGAATTACACAAACCTTATCAAACTTATCTAAATATGATTCTGAAGAACTGGAAAATAAACCTATGGAGAATTTAAATGGAATCTGTTGCCCTTAACAATCACAGGAAGAGTTTAAGCCAATATTTGTGTTTCTTTTTCTGAATTTACCAATAAATATGCTCAAGTTTTTAAACAACTGGATAAATTGATGAGTAGGTTTATATGCAGCTGGCAGAAACCAACAGTCAGGTTCATGATTATTAAGCAGTCGAAAGAAATGGGTGGATTGGCACCACCAAATTTAAGTAATTATCAATTATGAGTACAAATAAAACCTATTTTAACAAGGATGCAGTAGAAGCACATTAGTTTTGAACTAAAGTAGGGTACAGGTATTCCCTTATTAACAGGATAGATGCACTCTAGAAAAGCATTGTGTAAAGTCAAATTGTGTCCAGTCCACTTATTTATCATTTTTACTGCTTAATTATGATTCTTATTTGGGTAAAGCTTTTAGTTTTGACATTTTTAATGTGTAGGTTAGGCTTGAACGTCTTTTACAGAGAAAGGTAATAATACAGGTAAGTTAATGAGGTGTGGTTGTGTGACGATGGCGGTAGAGTAGGAGGACAGAGTGGCTCACTGCAGACAGAGAGAGGACTAGAGATGCAGCGCTTGTACAGCTTGATTTAATTTTCTCCGCATTTGCACAAAATGTTTTGTAGCGCTGCTTAGCCCAAGCTGGTAGCACAGACAATATCCCATGTTGTTAATTTTCTGAAAAAACTTTGTTCAGGTCTTTGTGCTGGCACAGTGCCCTTAACAGCTTTGAAGCAGAATGCAGTGATGCAGTAATTAGTAATTAGACTGATAGGAATATGATCTTGGGCTTGCTCAATGCAATAGTTTTGGACGGGTATGGGGAGCATTATTTGACTGCATTTGGAAGAAATCCCAGTGTATCCCCCCCAATGTTTGAGAAACCAATCATATTGGAATATTCAGAGGTGTCTTTTAGCACTGATGTCATAATGTTAGAATTCTACACTTTTACATGGAGCACTCTGACATGGATAGACATCTAAAAAGGGGCACGTTTCTTTTGATCTTGGTGCTTTCCCAAGTTCTGTAGCAGTCATATACACGTGTAATTTTGTATTGCAGATTTACATAGGGAATTTTCTCCTCCACCAGTATTTTCTTATTTCTTTAATTTGCATGCTGCTGGTATTTTCTGAAAAGTTTTGCAAATGAGCTCGTAATGCAAGCTTCAATTCCACAAAGAAATCAATGAGGGTTATTTATGGCGTACCTGATGTCTTTGAATATGTGTTCTTGGGCTGTCTTAGAATGGCTTAAGCAATGGGCATGAAATTGCTTATCTTTTTTGGGGTATTTTTAAAATATTAACGTGGTAAGCATATGTATTGCATTAAGGTTTAAGATATTGGATGCAATTAGAAGAATTTCATAAAATAGCAAATAAAGAACAGTTCCTTCTACCCAAATCCATGTTTCATGTGTTGACAGCTGTCACAGAGAAATCATCACCAATATTTCGGCTTTTTGATTGTTGTTTTCTGCAGTACCATGTCCATACAATGCATTTCAATTCTGTGTGGGAAAATGACTTCTGTATAGCATAAACATGGCCTATTGTAATACTTATTATAACCCGAAAACTGCACATTTGCCTTCAAGCTATTCAGTACAACACCCAACACAGGATTTAAAGTTTAAAGCTGGAGTGCTTTGTGTAGATCCCCTTTTCTGAGAAAAGAGTGTGCATGCGCACTGCCTGTTGAAATTCTACACACCCTTTCCAAAGTAATACATTTTGTGTCCTAATAGCCTAAAATCAAATTGCATTAAATCAACATGCATTTACCCTTTATTCAAATTTGAACACACAACGTTGACATTTGAAAAACAAATGTTCAAACATTCTGAAAAACGTATTACAAAAGAAGTCCTTGGAATTTGGGTGCACACCCTTGAATTAGTTGTTGCAATGCTAGTAATAAGTAGGGGTTTAACCAGTTTAAAATAGGCCACATCATAACCACATCATTAGCCAAATATTTAGGGCAGGGTTACTGATTTAAACCAGTTTTAAATAGAAACTAGATTTTTATCTAATCCAAGTGACATGATTATAATAATAATAATTCCTTACACTTATATAGCGCTTTTCTGGACACTCCACTCAAAGCGCTTTACAGGTAATGGGGACTCCCCTCCACCACCACCAATGTGCAGCATCCACCTAATTAATAATAATTAGGAATGATTCATTATTAAGAATAATTAGGAACTAATAGGTAGAGGTAGAAGTTAATTTCATGCTGGAAAATGAAAAGGGGAAAAAAAATATTTTGGATTAACCTCTCCCTCTTCCTTTGCAACACGGAGCTATGCAGAGCCGTTAAATCGGTGAGGACCCTTTTGGTCTGCAATGTAGCAATTGTTTTACGTGATCTGTGCAATGGGCAGAGCTGAAGTTGGGGCAGCAAGTCCCACTTTGACAGCACCTGCAGGTTCGAAATGTCCAATTTCCGTTTCAAAAACATGCTTGAGGTCTTAGCTGGGACAAGAGCCACAGCCAATTTGCATGCTCGTGTGTAAACTGACAAAACGTCTACTGTGTTAGTCATTTTTTTAGTCTTTTTTGCAGAACTGTCTCTCGGCATTGCACAGATGAAAATGAACTGATGATTACCTAAAACTCCCTCTCGTAGGTCCAGTGTTCTAACCTTAACAACAGTAACCGTTTCATATAGTAGACATACATCAATGTTTTTATGATTTCTTTTTCTAGGTGCTTTTAGAATTTTTTCCTCATTCATGAGCTGCGATTGGCTTAGCAGCTATGGATGACAAGGCCTCAGTTGGGAAAATTAGCGTTTCTTCTGGCTCGGTTTCCACCCTAAACAGTGAGGATTTTGTCTTGGTTTCCCGGCAAGGGGAGGAAACGCCGTCTACACATAACAGTAGTGATGATGAAAAAACAGGACTGAAGGTAAGAGCACTCTGGGTGTAGATTTAGACTCCTGGATCTGAGTTCCTTCCTCATGTAAACCGTCTTCTGTTTGGCCATGGATGAACTGAGCTGTGAGGCCGAGACACAGGCAGGGTGGAGCAGCTCCCAGTTCTGCTTTGTTTCTCACTCGAGTTTTGATTTGCAAACTTCGTTTTGTCTTTTATCTTTTGGGTGGGAGTAAAACCTATCGTGTTTCTGTCTTTTCTAAATGGGTGCGAATGAAATGCTTTCCGTTGCGATGTTAAGAAAGCTCTTAAAGACCGTGTCTGTTGCATAAGCAGACTCGTTGCTGGGTATTTAGATATACTCATGGCACAAACCCCTCATTGTAGCAAATGAACGAGGCGTACGGTGTGCAGGACCAAAGATATATCTCACTTTCTTTCCATTGAACCACCTGGCTCTCGAAGTAAGTGAGTGTTGGGGAAAATTGCCCACCTCTATGTTATAATAATAGATTTATATATTTCATACACACTTTGGTTGTTATACTGTCCATAATTGAATTTCTTTTTATTTGTATTGAATTTCACGCATCTCGTACCATTTCGGCCACAGTGCCAGGCTTTTTAAAATACAGCTGTTGGCGTGCATCAACTCATTCACAGCTCATAGCTATAAATGATCATCCTTATGTTATTCATGGGCATTTGTAATGAGAAACATACTGCCTTCTGAGCAAGAGTTGTGGGTCTGGAACCCCCTCGTTTCATCCATGGTCAATTAGATTTGGTTTACATAAACATGGAACTTCAGATTGGCCTGAACTAATCAATTCCAAGCTCGAACGCCTCTAATGTCCTCTCTTGTTTGTGAACCTGTTCCTAGCTTTTCCCTAAATCTGAATTAACATTCTCTTAATATACTTTTGCGCTTATCTGAACCCTGTTCAATCCCCACCTCTCCCCTGCCTTCTGATTCCGAATGCCTTCCTCCCGGAGTCTGGGGATGTGGTGTCATGAGGCATGTCAGCTCACCACTCTCCTCTGGTGGTACCTTCCTCTTTTCCCACCCTTTTTGGATTTAAAAAAAAAAATTGGGCTCTCAATTAACGATTTAAAAGGGCAGTCCTGCTTTTTCATTTTCCTTCTGGTGTGCGTCTGTGTTGTTTGCACTCCGGCTGCTGTCTGTGGTCTCTCTGCACTTGCCTTCTGCCTGATCAACAATTCACCTCCTGACCTTTTCCGTCGTCTCGTTTTGTCCTCCCCGGTCGCTGTATTCATTTAAGTGGATGTCCTTAGTCTCTTGCACTTCGGGAATCATCCAGGTGGTTGCTGGCTTTTCCGGCTGCCCAGGAGACGTTGTCTAGGTCTTCCTTCAGCTGTCACTTGGCCAGCAACCCCCTGTGTGTGGCTCCTTTCTGCAACGGCATCTCTAAATCGATACAGAAGAGGGATCCCTCCTTTTGCCTGCGAAGGACCTTTGTGGATTGGTTTGCATTGTCTTCCGATGATGTTTTTGAGGTCCTAATTAAAACCTGTTGTTCTATATTTTGTTTTTTATCCACCTGTACGAATGCCCTTGTTTCCATCACATATTGTGATGCTATATGGTCGAAGAAGTGCTGGATCTGATCCACGGAGGGTTACTTTTCTTTCTGAAGACTGGAGCCCCAGTTTCATCTCTGGATCAAGTCGGTGGTTAAACTGTCCACCATTCCCGACCCCGAACCGGTGAAACTCATGTGCCGTCTTGAGAGATGCTGCAGGTGTAGGCGAAGACAGAGCCAGGACTGGGGTTTTTGCTTCGTGGGGGGGCTGACAGGACACAGTGCAGGAGGCAGCTCAGACAGAACTCTATCTTTGTTGGCTTAACGTCTGTCACTATGGGAGGTCTGCAGGGCTTGTAAATAAAAAAAAAACAGCAGAAATATTAAGCCACTAAATATACTGTAGTGGTGGACAAAGGTTGTACATGCGAGCAGAGTTGTCTAGATGCTCAGCTCAGCCAGACAGTGCAGGTCAGTGGCGGACATCAGTGTAGTCTGGTCTGGTACAGACAGCTCTGTTTTCCTTTTTGCACCAGTTAGGACAAACCCTCATTACCTCAGTTTGCCTGTGAAGAGCTTCATTAGACTGTTTAAGAGTTTGTAGAGGGGGGGGGCGGGCGTTTGTGTTAAATCTGTTTCTAAAGTGCATGTAGCTCACATTTTAATTTGTCTTAGTTAAAACGCAAACATCGAGCTTTTTATTTCTCGTTCTTTACAGTAAAGCAGTTGGGGAAATCTCTTAATTTACTTCTTGGTATTCTATCACACAGGCTTTTCTTTTCATTTAAGTGGTGTTTACAAGTTTGATTCATACCTGCAGTGATTTAGGAACCTGAAGAGTCAATATGTAGAATTTTCTTGAATTGAAGGATATGTTAAAATTATCTATTGGGCAGTTAACATAAGAATTAGTAGTGTACAGTACTTTGTGTTCCTTGCATTATAAACTTATGCCAGTTTGCCCCACAAGATGGCGCCATTGTAAAGTATATAATTCCCAGTTGCTGCATTTTTCTCAGCTTCTAGCCTAAAAACTAGGTTAGCAGTCTTTGCACTAACATTATTCATTATGTAAGCATGTAAAATTGTCATATCCAAATTTTCTAGTTCCACAGTTTTGTCCAGAAACAGTAGAATTTATCTGATACCGCTACAGATTGAGATTGAAATTCCAGTGATAATTTTAGGTTTAAAAGTAATACAATAAATGCTATAAAAGGAGAAAGAATGTTAAATTTAGCCTTTGGACTTAATTTCCTTAGAGACACCTGAACAGATTGTCTCTTGCTTTGTTATTCATGTAAGATGTTATAAGTGTAAGATTGTACCAATGTTTTTATAGATGCTGAGGAATAGATTTGTCTTAAATGCCTGTTCAAAAATTCAGAGAAGGGTATTTATAGGAGTGACCCATCCCTGACCAAAATAGCGGTGAGGACTTCAGTTCCTGACTGTAAAGTAGTATCAGACCTGCCCTTTTCTTCTTTGTTCTGTGCTATGGTAAAAAAGGGTGGATGTATAGTAAGTCATCCCATCAGAAGCATTACTGCTCGTGCATTGCTGACAGCAGCAGCAGACCTGGCTGATGTGTAAATTCAGACAGCCTGATGGGTTTATATTCCCCAGATCTCAATCTTAATGTCCACATGAAGTTAAGTTGGCTGTGTGGTCTGAAATGTTTATGGATGTCTGTAAGAATTAGCTGTAATCTAGGCTTACAGCTCTAGGGTTGTAACTGTAACTGCCCATGAATGACTCGCTGTTATAGGTATCCTCCATTTTAGGGGGTAAGATAGCATGAATGTATGTATAACCTCAGCTCCAGCAGCCAAAAGTAATACAGCTGCAGCGTAGATGAGATCTGATCGCTTCAAAACAGAACAAATAGAAAGGTTGAGTGAGAAATGCTGACAAGGATGTTCCTGTAAATCATAGTTGTGTGATGGCTACTTGACCTATAGCTGCAGTATATTTCTTTAAGTGATCTGGGCCTTCAGACTCTTCCAAGCAATGGCTAGAACAGTTTAGAATGCATTGAAACTGCAGTACATCCAGGAAGCGCTTTTCTTAAGACTGTGAGCTCTTAAGCATAGTGGTAAGGACTTCCGTCCAGTGGGGACTTCAGGGCTGGACTGTAAAGTAGTATCAGACCAGACCTTTTCTTCTCTGTGCCGTGCCATGGTAAAAAAAAGGGGGATGTACAGAAAGTGTCCCCACAAGAAGCATGCCAAATATTGGTGGATTTCAAGTCTTAGTTATTTGCTGATTTTCTTTATCTTTGTTCCTTTTTTTTTTGCCTTTGTCCAGTTTACGCAGTCATATTTGAAATAGTTGTGCCTCCAGATTTTCACTTTTTTCTGGAGTTTTTAGATTTTTTTTTTTACTTTTCATTTGCTGATCATTGACCAAAAAGAGCTCAGAAGAGAGACTGGAATTTAATAAGTGTTGTATCCGTTAACTTGTTTCTCTGAGGCCTTTTTTTCCAAATCAGCTTGCTTTTGTACCCATTTATAGATCTCGGTATTTTACGTTAGCAATCTGAGTGTATGTTGCTCAGTGATGCAACAGCAGTGCCTCTCTCTGGATTTAAACACAACCTTCCAGTTAGGAGTCTAGAGGTCTTATCACTCCTCCACACTGCTAGTTTTGTTGTTGGAGACTGTGGAGGAGTATGCAGGCAGCTGTTGGTCATATCTAACTCTTCAGTAACCTTTTGCTGTTGCAGCTGTGTGAAGCAGCACATTCTTCTGTAATGAATATAGCTTAAATAGGCCATGCAACAGAAAAAAACACCCTATAGCTGTAGTTAAATTAGAACACAGTACATGATGTCTCTTAAGGGGTACAACCACAGATGTTAAGATATGGAACCTATAAAAAATATTTTTTAAACAAGGATACAGTTTTTGTTAAACAATATATACATTCATTCAACTAATGCATAAAAATCTTATTTTATATTTCAGATATCTACAAGGTTAATATTATACCACTGAGAGTTATATACGAAGCCATCACTCACTGATTTAGAGATATAAGTTTAAATTCACAAGATCTTTACAAAAGGGAGACAGTTCGTTAGTTATATGAGATATCTATGCTGAAGGCGGTTGGAATTTCATCCAAACATTTTTTATATTTTTGCTTTTTCACTGGGAAATAGTTCTATATATTGAATAACAGCAGCGGCGATTTCTGAAATACAGTTTAAGGGAAAGCGACTTAAAATGTGGTCTGTTTTTCATTTTGTTACCTGGAAGTGTTAACATAGTGAATTGATGTTTTCTTATCAAATTGCAGAGTTGTAAAGATGAAGGTTTATCTGATGATCAAAAAAGGCACGACAAAATAAAACTTTATCACAATACCTTTGGGTCCTAAAATATTTTCAAAATTGGAAAGAAAATATAAGTAATAAAACAAGATATCCATTATGATTATATTATGATTCCATTCCAGTCTCTGAATATATTTACACACACGCATATAGTCTTGGATCTGCCCCAGGAAGACATTAGTTATGCTTTTGTATCCAAGATTGCAAATACAGTGTGACCCCTTCCTCCTCTAAAATCAAAACAATTGCTTCAGTAGAAATGTTTAAATTACAAGAACTCCTTATTATTTACACCTTGTCAGTTCGAGAGAAAGTTTAATGAAGTAACTTTGTCCCATAAAGTTTAATAAAGATTGCCTTTACCTGTCCATCTTTTAAACCTTTTTACTTCTCACTTAAGATTTTATAAAAGCAGTCTCTGAGCACAGAGCTAGTGTTACTGGATTCCCAGATCCCTGAAGGTCATGTGTCTTCTGGTCACACTGGAAACGAGTAGTTTCCTTTGACATGCAGATTTAAGTGTCTGAAAATGTGAAAATCTGTAAAAATATTTGATGTAGCATAGTCCTGTCAAAGAAGTAACTACATTTCCATTTTTTTTTTCATTTTAGCATTAATTGCTAAAGCTGTGGCCTTGAAAACATTAAGTACCTAGTAAATGAGTAAACGTAAAAAAAAATATTGTTTTTTTCTGTTTTTCTTAGGGAGGTGTTTATAGAGAGCAAGGAATTAGCAAGCAAACTAAACAGTGTTGTTTGTTACACAGGTTATTACTGAGGAAGGTGTCAGCTTTAAGGTCAGTTTATTTATTACTCTTTTCTCTGTTATCATGACAGTCCTGTCTGTGCTGTTTGCTCTTTGTGTTGATGGAGAGTAGTGTGTTTCTTTGCGAAAGGCCTGTGCAATCCTGAAATCAGAAACAGAGCTGTGCTGCAGTGCTTCTCGAATAACACATTTTCAGCCAAACTGTGCTTTTGTGTAAAAATGTTAACTTGGACAGAGATTTGATATTTTACCAGGTGAGATTTTTTTTTTAATAAATAGCAGGTTAAGAAGAAACATTTATTCTGAGTATGTAGTTTGTTGGAGACTGGGGATACCAGTACTTACATCACACTCTTCTGTGAGTGGTATATACTGTATAATGTCTCTTAACAGCACCTCTAAGGTAGGGTAGCCTTATTTAACTTATTTCTTGAAAATGTGTATTATACACTAGCTCAAAATCCAAAGCAGAGTTTCTAAGGGGGGTAAGAATTAAAATAAGCTGTGATGAGTTCATGTTAGGGCCATTTGACCTCTTGGAACAATTTGAATGAACTAGTAAAGATTAGGGTAGCTGATGATCTGAAGAGAAGGGGTTTATCCCTCCTGATATATAGGAAATCTTCCTATCAACCTCAGCTGACTAATTGCCAGAAAAGACAGACAAAAGGTCCCAAGACCTCCTTGTGACTTATTCTTAAAAGTGAAACAAATGCTTTTCAGCCTGCATGTTTTCCTCTTGTGTCTTCTTAAAATGAGACTAACAGGACCTCGTTCAAATCATTTCTCTCCAGTGCAACATTTTCCTCTGTCACAATAAAGCCCGCGTGAAATCCGAGTGTCACTGAAAAGAGTATTATTTCAGTTTTTCACACCTCTTGATCAGCACGGATCTTATTCTGTAGTAGAATCGCTTTCTGCCAAATGAACAGCAAGTTCCACAAAATGCTTTAAACCTGACCCCCTGCCACCCCCCCACCCCCCCAAAAAGCGTGCCTGCAATATTTGAGGGCTTGGCGTTCCTTTGGAAAAGCGGGGGCGCTGCCTGGGGCTCCTGCAGTGCCTCGCCGCCTGCGCGTCTCGGGTGACCCTGCCCCTCTGCTCGTGCCCCTCCAGATCGTGGGGAACGGAAGCGAGCAGGAGCTGCAGAAGGAGCTGGAGGATGTGCTGATGGACCCCTCGGAGTCGGACCAGGCCGCCGGCGGGGATCACGCCGAGGGGGGGCACCCCCTCTCCGTGGCCCCCCTTGATTTCCCTTCGGGCTCAGCGAGCCCCCTGCCCAAACTGGAGATGGCGCTGCCGGTGAGATCCACGCAGGACGGTGAGTCTCTGGATGGGGCGCTGGAGCACCTCGGTGGTCCTGAGGGGTTCCGGACCGGGTCCCCTGCTGTTGTGGTGTATGTGGGCTCTCCTTGGTGTTGGCGTGGGGTTTTTGGCACTTGATCAGAGCCATGCTTTTGTCCCTTTGCAAAAGCATGTGCCAGTGCCAGTGCGCCCTGTAGTTGACTGACCTCTCCAGGGTCTAGTCCTGCCATGCTCCGTATTTTTCCCTTGGAATGAAAAGTCTAGGAACGGGAGATTCTTCCCTAGGGAAAAACGGCCCTTAAGGAGGGAGACGGGACATTTTTACCAAATGACTGTTGTGTGATTTTCACACCACTGAGCAAGCGAGCCCAATCAACCACTTACCGCACACATACCGGCTAGCAAATGTTGTGAAATTGACAGATTTATCATTCCACTCCTAACCACTGCCTGGGATTTTAAGTTAATTATTAAGGAAAATAAACACACAAAAGATATCGCCTAAGACACTCAAAATACTGCTGCCACGGATTGTTTGCTTTGGATGTTGCCCCATGGGATCTTGCAGAACTTGATAGTCTTCCTTAAGTTGTTTAATGTATTAAATGGCATGGAAATGCGTTAATAGAAAACATAAAAGGCATTAAATACTACCTTACCCAAAGCGTGAAGGTTAACTGCAATTAGCTGCCCAGCGATACTGAAGCTGAATCCCTGGGATTCTTTAAGAAACGACTGAATGAGTTAGCTGGTAGCAGCCAGGTGAGCAAAATAGGTTGAATGGAATTTCCTCTTCTTTGCAGCTTGTTCTAAAATAATATCTTGGATGTTACTGAAGTGGTGTGCAAGACTGAAACTTCAAACCTTTTTTTTCCTCTTGTGTCAGTGAAAGTCTGCTATGCGTTACCCCCAGCGTGGCCAAAATATTCTAAAATAGCAGCCATATCACTCTGCAACTCACAGCTGGCAGCTCCACTGAAGTTAAGCAGGTTTGAGTCTGGCCAGTCCCTAGATGAGAGACCTCCTGGGAAAAACTAAGGCTGCTACTAGAAGAGGTGTTAGTGGGGCCAGTAGGGGGCGCTCAGCCTGTGGTCTGGGTGGGTCCTAATGCCCCAGTTTTTTTTACTGGGTCCTGACTCTCTGTGGTCATTAAAAATCCCAGGGTGTTTCTCAGAAAGTGTAGGGGTGTTACCCCAGCGTCCTGGCCAAATTTCCCATTGGCCTTTACCAGTCATGGCCTCCTAATAATCCTCATCTCTGAACTGGCTCCATCACTCTGTTCTCCTCCCCACTGAGAGTTGGTGTGTGGGGAGCGGACTGGTGTCGTTGCATCATACAGGTGGGGACTGCACACTGGTGGTGGTGGTGATTCCCCATTACCAGTATGGTGCTTTGAATGCAGTGTCCAGAAAAGAGCTATACAAGTGCCAGGAATGTATTATTATTATTATTATTAATTCTGCGGGACCAATATTCTTAAACTTGAATCCTTTCCTGTCTCGAGCACATGTTCTGCTTATTTCATCAGCCTGTGGCACTAGCAGAGAAGACCAAGAGCAATTTCAAACAGGAACAGCAAGGCCCTACAACACACAAGTGTAGCTGTTTATATTCGATCTCTCTTTGATCGTGGGTAGTCAGGTACCACAGCAAATTGACTGAAGATTCCTTAATCTCGCGAAATTGGAGCTCACCCAGCATTCACAGTAGGTTTTGTTTCAAGAAAGGTATGGTTTCAGTGATGTTCACCCTGAATATACAGAGCTGACCAACAGGAGATGATGAAAAAGAGCTGTGAGAGCTCAATACTGATAGTCACAAAATATTTTCAGTAATTCTCCACACTCTGTGGAAAATTCCTTTTGCCTCATGTAGAACATAAACGTCCTGACAGGAACAGGGCATTCAGCCATCGCTGTTCCCTGGTTTTCTGTATGCCAACAGAGCGGTCTTTTTAAAAACGTCTATATTACATTGCGTTAAAATGTCTACACTTCAACCTTTTCCAAACTTCCTTTAAAAGCTAAAGCCATTTAATTGTTTACAACGTGCCTGCAGCTGTGAGAGGAGGAAATCACAGAAAACGTAAGGTATTTTCAGGGTGTAAAGTTAAACCTCAAATTAGATACAAAACAAATCCAGGCAGCCCACCATCCGTGGAAGATTTGCAATTGCAAGAGGAAAGATTGAGAGGTAAATTTCCGGGGCTGTTCTTTTACAATATCAAACCATTCATTGTTTATTTTTGGCCACTAGGAGGATACCCAAACTCAAACTGTCAAAATCTATTTTCCATGGACAGGCAGGCTGATCGCCCAGATACCTTGATGAAAATTCCAGTGTGTTGTTTTCTTTCAGAGCTCGATCCAGCGTTTGCCAAAACTGCCACTACACCTTCAGACAGCCCTGAGAAAATGAATGAAATGCAGATTGTTCCCCTCAAAGCACTACGGAAGGGCTGCTTTTTATTGTGCTTGTAATTTAGGACAGATAAAAACTGGGTTGTTTTTCCCACAGAACTGAAACATATACAGTATACAGTTTTCTTGTTGTTCTTCTGAAATCACACCATTTTCTATTTCTTGTTAAGTTTATAGTAATATTGTTGATTCAGGATTACTGTAATATAATGATTTCCTTGTCAATGTTCAGAATGTTCAGCAATGCATTTATTGTATATCTCCGATACCGTCAAGCCCCGATTTTAATGTTCCTAGCATCCCTGGCGCCACTTGTGTGCCGGTAAATCCTTAAATAAGTAAATCTTATTTCATTGATAAGACTTTCAGAATGAATGCGGTGAGCTTTTATAGAAACCATACATCAGACATCTGCAGTCAGGATCTGTCCATCCTAACTGCTGTGGGTTTCCATCTCATATCAGATTTAATGCTAAGTGTAAGAGGTTAACAATAATAATTACTTACAGTTATATAGTGCTTTTCTGGACACTCCACTCATAGCACTTTACAGGTAATTGGGATCCCCTCCACCACCACCAATGTGCAGCCCTACCTGGACGATGTGACGGCAGCCATAGTGCGCCAGAACGCTCACCACACATCAGCTCTCAGTGGGGAGGAGAGCAGTTCATAGACAGGGATTATGAGGAGGCCACGATTGGTAAGGGCCAATGGGAAATTTTTGGCCAGGACGCTGGGGTTACACCCCTACTCTTTACGAGAAACGCCCTGGGATTTTTAATGACCACAGAGAGTCAGGACCTCGGTTTTACGTTTCATCTGAAGGACAGCGCCTGTTTACAGTATAGTGTCCCCGTCGCTATACTGGGGCATTAGGACCCACAGAGACCTCAGGGTGAGCGCCCCCTGCTGGCCCCACTAACACCTCTTCCAGCAGCAACCTTAGTTTTTCCCAGGAGGTCCCTCATTCAGGTTCTGACCAGCCTCACACCTGCTTAGCTTTAGTGGGCTGACAGTTGTGAGTTGCAGGGTGACATGGCTGTTGTCTTGGTGAGGTGCTTGATGAGTTTATTTTCAACAGGAGTACATGGGTTAATGTACATTGCACTATGTGCACAGTAATTCTTTGGAAATAAGAAAGAAATGCAATGAAAGAGCCATTTGTTTCCTGGCACAGGCTGTCTTACATGGGCTGTCTCCATGGCTCAGAATTACGCAGGTCACATACACTGATCTGTTTGTGAACTGACCGTTGAAAACCTTAATGCAGTGCCTGATATTGAAAACAGCCCCCGTCACAAGACCTGCCTTCAGCGTAAACGAAGGTTTGCTGCAGTATCTTCTCTTCATTACTAATTGCTTCTCCTAACTCAAAGCTGAAGGGTTGCATGAATACCAGTGAAATCATGAAAGGGGTAAATGACATCAGTCAGTTATGCAATTAAAAAGTGGAACATTTGGGTGATTTAAACATAGCTCTTTTGGGCTGTTGGGTTTATTGCCCTTGACAATGTATTGCTCCTGCGCTGTGCCACAGTTTTTCCTCTGTGCTTAGCCATAGTCGCTCTTGGGGGAGCGCCAAGCGGGAACCGCCCCCCTTCCCCTCCTCCCGTCGCCCCCAATCCCAGCCTCCACGTGACCGACCTTCACCGCTTGTGTCGACAGATGACTCTTCAGGGTCCCCCACCACCCCGGTGCCGGACGAGGACAGCGTCGTCTTCAGCAAGCTGACGTATCTCGGCTGCGCCTCGGTCAACGCCCCCCGCAGCGAAGTCGAGGCCCTGCGCATGATTTCCATTTTGCGGGGCCAGTGCCAGGTGCCTTTAGACGTGACCCTCTCAGTGCCTAACGTTTCCGAAGGGACGGTAAGGTAAGGGCGTCGCACACAAGGCCTGGAGCAGGTGTCATTAGCGTAGCTTCTCTAGGCTCTGGGGCGCGTTTCTCACCAAGCTTCTGTCTGTGCCTGTCCAGCTTACTTTGGGGTATAAGAAGTACGGTATACATCATGGGCATCTCCCCTGATTGATCTGACATTTATTCTTTGTTCTCAACGGGGAAGCCAGAATCTGTTCCTGCCGTTGTGCCACACTGTTGAGATACCTCGCCATCTAGGGTGGAGCGGTGGCTCTGTGGCTCAGGATCTGCTCCTGTGGCTGGGAGGTTGCCGGTTCAAATCCCGCGGCCGGCAGAGGAATCCTACTCCGTTTGGCCCCTGAGCAAGGCCCTTAACTCCTACTGCTCCTGGGGCGCTGTACAATGGCTGACCCTGCACTCTGACCCCAAGCTTCTCTCCCTGTCTTGTGTGTCTGTGTCTCATGGAAAGTAAGCTGGGGTATGCGAAAAGACGAATTCCTAATGCAAGAAATTGTATATCACTAATAAAGTGATCTCAGATAGGACAGGATTATCCCATAATAGCAGCTAAATAAGTTCTTCGGAGCTTCAGAACTAAGTTTTAACTTGTTCAGGGGTCATAGGATATCTAGAAAAGAGTTATGGCTTCTGCTCCATCAGTGAATTGAGCTGTGTATGTGGCACATTCATTCATTATGAGATGGAAACAGGAGTGAAGATCTCTAAGGAAATGGTTTTACATCTCTTGGTAATAATATTTAGACAGCATGGGACCGGGATTTGCAGAGTCTGCATTTATGAGCCATATTCTTTTGTGCTGTATATTGTCATGTGCCAACTTTGCACATAGTAAAGTATAATATTTTAAGCAACACTGGTCTTATGGAGGAGGATTATGCAGTAGTTTATGTGGGAGAAACAAACATACATGACCTTGCTTGAGAGTGAATGGACTTGGAGCAGTTTTTAAGAGCTGCTAGAGATATCCTGCCTCGTGCAGCAGGAACTGACAATTGTTTTCTCTGTTTCAGAGAATCACAGCACACTTGCAAAATGGTTAGGGTGTCATTATCACATATTGATGGAGGAAAGGAAAGGCATATAGACAGGGCGATATTCAAAAACGACATTTAATTTTCGGCTTGGGATAGTGCCACAGAATTGCTGAAGATATTCAGGGCGATTTTAGTCTGTGGTTTTACTGAGCGCTTTTTGCATTTTCATGCCATTCACTCATTAGTCAGGGTAAAAAAAATCCAACCTTTGTCATTGAGCTCATTGCTGGTGTCCATTCATAAAACAGGCTTGTTGGCAGTTTTTTTCCCCCAAGAATTGACAATTGTTTTGAATACATTTTTGTAACTTCAGTTTTATGCGTGACACAACACCAAAAGGGACATTTACAGTCTTGGACTGCAAGTTGTGCTCTTCTTTAAGATTATGCATCTGAGGTCTGATTCAGGTTCCCCTAAAAATACTGGGAAAAGAAATCCTGTCTTCCCAGAGCATACCTTTCAATTCAAATGATTTTCACTCTCTCTTGTCCTTTTCCTGCCCCTTACAGTTATTGGTTTAAGCCACCAGGTCTCAGAATTGCTTTTTATTCGACAGGTTATTAGATCCCCAGACGCACGTGGAAATTGCAAACTATCCAATCTACAAGATCCTGTTCTGTGTGAGAGGCCACGACGGGACACAGGAAAGCGACTGCTTTGCTTTCACTGAAAGCCACTATAACGCAGAGATTTTCAGGATCCACGTCTTCCGATGCGAAATCCAGGAAGCGGTGAGTCATATGCTCTCTTTTGCGGAACATGTCCCACTGAAGGCCACTACAGGCGGTCACTAGAAATACGGTTTCCTTTCTAACTACGGGATCGCTGTGCTGGGCTTTGGCACGACCACCTCCTGTGTTCTCTTGCTGATTGCTGATCTCTGGGTATTGGGATAACATGGGGCGGAATTAGTCAAAAACCCACAGCTCAATGGATTGGAATGGGTAAGAAGGGCCATCAGCTGGCAGCTCTGTTAAAGACTGCCTACCTCTGGTCATGGGAACCTAGAATCCTGCAAGTTTTAATGAAGTTTCTTTCATGCATGCCATCCAACTCCAGGCCTTTGCACACTTAAGGTCCTATGAGCAACGTGTTACAACTGTGCCTTCACTATCTCAAGTCTCTGTTTTATGGGCTTTTTGGAAAGGCTCCATGGTAGGGCACCTGTGTTTCCTGCATTGCTGGTCTGCTCAGTCAGTTGCTGTGGTGACAAAGGGACCAGCTCCGAGCACAGATACAGATATGTGTCATCTATTGTTTAGCAAAACCGTTAAACCTGCCAAGCTTGTAACAGACATCCTACTTAGCAGCATGCACTTATTGTGCAGGTTTAAATAAAAATTGTTTTTAGCTCAGTTCACTTTTGGGTGCTTGTGGTATTTAAAGTCAGAAGCATTACAGTATTGTAAATGATTAATTATGATGAGTAGTTATTGACTTTGTATATCGTTTTATGATATGTTCTTTTGTGAGCCTATTGTACTCTTACTCCTTATGAGCTGATTTAGTATTCATAGTTTTGCTTTTTTAATGTATGTGGGTGTATTGTTGGGAAAACATCAGTAGCACACAACTTCTCCACTGCGTTCACAAAACACACAAGCTGCACCCATGATCCATTTTATTTTTTTATTACTGCTTTGGTGTTTATCCAAAGCGACTTAACATCCATTTTGGCATCTGGGTGTTGTGCTGGAGAAATCTGTGTGAAGTACCGTGCTCAATGGCAGAACAGCTGTGTCTCACCTGGGTTTTGAGCCCACAACCTTCCAGTTACAAGTCCTGAACCCTGGCCACTGCCTCACACTGTTGCCCGTGTAGCAGGGTAGCCATGCTGGCTGAAAGAAGTTCTCATCGTAATTGCACTAGAAATCCAAAAGCACAGAAGAATAGGAGGAAACCAGTGGCTCTTTTGAAAAAGCTTGAATTGTTCTGGAAACTTCCTGCCCAGATGGGTGCTGTTGGCCAACGCTTGCCGTGTACGTTGCATTCAACGTATTTAATAAACCCATTCCACCTTAGAAATATCACCAGACTACGTCCTATGTTGATGGTTAACACTTACCCTACTCGGTGGGATATCTAAATCCACATTAAACATGTATGTCCAGAATCCTGACCAGGTCTAGTGTAAGTGATCACATTACTCCTGTCCTTGAGTCCTTGCACTGGCTTCCTGTCAGATTTTGTGTTGGCTTTAAAGTCCTCATGTTTAGCTATAAAGCTCTACTTAACTTAGCACCTCAGTACCTCTCTGAGCTACTATCATCTTACTCCCTGCCTCACAACCCTCATTCGTCTGATTCTGGTCTCCTGTCTGCTCGTTTACATTCTATGGCTGACAGGACCTTCTCCTGCATTGCCCCAAAGCACTGGAATTCTATCCCTGAGCGCTTTCAAATCAACACTTAAAACCTTGCAATTATGATTCCTGTAATTATGTAAGACTGCTGTCTCCTCTCATTGTGTTTTTTTTTCCTTGCTGTAAAGAGTTTTGAGAAGCCACTTTTAAAGGCGCTATATAAAATAAAGATTATTATTATTTTTATTGTTATGGAGAAATGACCTAAAGCAATAAAGGATCGCGTCTCTTGACGCTCCTCCAAAAGGGCTCTTGCCTGTTATGAGGTTTAGAGTCCTGTGTTCCTAACCACTCTCCAGACTGGGGTCTGCCACCATTCTCCCTTCTATAAGTGAGTGGATTTGTTGCGGCAGGCGGCCGTACTCCAATATACGATTCTGGATACAAAACCTTGAACACTCGTACAAATAAGAATTGTGTTCAGTTGATGCATTTCAAGATTTTCCCTGAAGGGTTTGGATTGTTAATATGCAAGCAACTTTTCATTTCTGAGCGTTGTTGATTATTTGGCTTCTGTATATGAGGCGGTAATTACAAAGGTAATACAATTACGTGGAGGAAGACATTGGGAGCCGGCATCGTTAGTCTTTTTCAATTCTTGCGGCCACGCAACAATGAAAGCCAGTTTTTGCCCCGAAGGTTCCTGTTGGCAGGGCTTTAAATAAATGGGTGGCGTGCTAACACCAAACAGAACTGCATTAAATTCGGGTTAGCTGCATCCTGTTACAAAATAACCGCGTTAATATTTCAGTAGACTTCTTATAAGCACGTACCATTTGCACGCTATCAATTAGAGAATTTGTATTTTTGCTCGTTGAGGTGTCCATCCCATCAGTTGAACGCAGTTTTCTGGGCATCTTTCTCCACTGTGTGGTTTTGTGCACGAGCCCCGTAGCAGAGATTTTCAGTAGTGAAGCCATTTCTTCTGTCTAAGCGGGCAGAGAGGTAGGCTGCTCCACATTTTGAAGACGACAAGCTGCCTGCAACTGGTTTTGAATAATGCAGGCCAGCCTTGTTTTAATACAAGCCATTGGGAACATTGCTGGGCCTGTTCAGCACCTTTTTTTTTAATGCTTTACTTGCCTGCAAGTCTGAAGCTCGAGTTAAAATATTCGGAGCTAACATTTCGGATGTAGACCAAGACATTTGCTCCTTCAAAGGTTTCCTAACCTTTACTTCAGGGAATTGGAAGAAGGCCTCTGTGGCCTTGAGGGGGGCCTTCTGTGTGAGTAGAGTTCGTCTGTGATGGTGTTTGGATACTGTTAAAGGTCATCGGTCCTCGAATCCAGTGCTTTCTGAGGTCACTGTCAGAGCAGCAGGAACTACAGATTTGCATCCCATGGGGCAGATAGATTGTTTTGTTTTTTTTTAAATTCCAGAAGCCATTGCTTACTAAGAGCAGCTATAATGAAATTGCTTGTGTTTGTCTTTGTAGATGATTGGGTGGAGACGACCATGTTTTTTAATGTCCTCAGGCTGCAGATGTAATTCTTCCAAAATTATGAGCAGTAATTTGTTTAGCATTGCATTTTGGAGTAATGAGGCCTGTTCCCTTCAGCCCATATAAATAGGGCCTCTGTTCCTGGTTGATACTCACCAGATAGACAGCACTAGTAATGATGGGATGGGTGGTGGTTACACAGATGCATTTTCTTTGTCTTTTGTCTCCGGTGCTGATTTAACATTCCAATTCGCATTTAACATTCTCTTGTCACATTCATTTAACTGCAATAAATTTCAACCATTTTATTAATGTCTAGTGTCCAGACTGGTGTTAGATTTTTTTCATTTCCACATTCCCCAGGCATTGCTGTCTATGTTCGCAGAAATAAGACACAAAATCACGGAGAACGTCGTGAGGAGACTATAATTGCCAAAAGGGATTGACTCTGGTTGTAGCAGCATTGGTTTTTCTGTTTTCAGCATAGAACTTCATGAATAACTTGTAGGAAAATACGTATGTGACTCTTCACATGGATGTAGTTCAGGTGGGTAGCTGTGTCAGCATGCGTAGGCTGCAAAAGAACAAGTAATAGGTTTATTCCATGTTGAAAAAAAGAAGAAAGAAAACACAACGTTCTTGAAGAAGGCTCCATGGCCGAAACCTTGTGTTTTCTTTCTTTTTTTCAGCATGGAATAAACCCATTACTTGTTTCTTCACATGAATGGTCGCTTCTATAATGGTGTGGTCTACAACACACAGCTGAACCTGTTGGGAGGCCCTGAATGCAGTCTGTGAACCCGACTCCAGACTCTTCCCCACATGTGCTGTACTCCTGGTGTAAGAGTAGAAGTTAAGAAGGGTTCCAAGCAAGAGCAGGTAGTTTTATTGGAATTGGTTACTAGCAATGACGTGACCTCTTAAAAGCGGCTGGGTTATAAGATGTAGCTTACAAAGGGCCCCCTGTTCTCCATTTTAAATGCTTGCTAACAAGCCTTCAGGTGTGTGTTCACATCTTTATTATTACATGCATGTGTATTAGTGTCTGTAACAAATATGATTTGAGAAATGACCGACAGTGTTTTTTTAATTTTCAAATATTTTATTGTCCAGCACAAAATCCCTTTCCAAATCAAATCTCTGTCTCCCCGTTGTAGCTTTTACACTGAATATTAAGGAACGTATTTCAGTCCCAGTTCACATCTGGGTCACAGGACACTCTGAGGAGCTGCTGACTCAGTCATGGAAGTGAAGGTTAGCTTGGCTTAGCTGTGAAGTCGCGAAGCATTCAGAGTTTGGATAGGTTCTGCTCAGAAACTTCCATTTAATATGAATGTTAGAGAAGTGCTTGTTTTCTGTAGGGAGCCCTGCAAGTCACTGTGAAGAGAGGCTTCAAGTAAATGAATTAAGTCAGAGTGATTAATGAGGTTGTGTGGTGAGGCAACTTAGAAAAGACAAAAATGTTTTCTCAGATAATCGTTTTCATTAGGTTTGCTTTTGTCGTGCTGTCATTGTGCAGTGTATCGTGCTGGCTCGTACCCCTCTATTCGCCGGTTATGTTGCGTACGGCAAACATATTGCCTGGAGGTGGGGTAACCATCAGGCCTGTCACCCCAAGCAATTTCTTTTCACCTACCGGGGGTTTGGGGTGTCCTATTCTGTACCCCCCACGGTACATTGTTCCTTCACATTAATGTCAATGTATGTATCATTCCATACGGTGCTCTGTGACAAACTATTACAAAAGGTACTTTAGTGCATACATATTGGTTGATTTTCTCCTCATTAGATTGGTTTGTCTTTGTTATTCTAAAGCTGATATAAAGTCAAAGTTATTTTGATTTGAAGCTGTATTCTGTCTGAAGAGTCAGAGCCAGTCAGTCACAAAGCAGATTCTTGTGGTGGGTACTACAATTTCAAATATAGTACTCAAATATCAATACAATGTTTAGACCAAAATGTAATAAAATAAATCTTTTAAAGATGCGGTATGAAAATCAAAAATTAATAAGCAGACTTCCAATGGTATGTGATTAAGGTATGGTATGTAATTTTGATACCATGTGAATACATAAGCATTTACTTGAGACTTGGGAATTTCTCTTACTGTATTTTAACTCTCTGTGTATTTTTATTTTACACAAAGTGTAGCAGAATGTCACCAAACTCTCGGGTGTGTCATTTAGCCAGCAGCCATGTAACCCTGCAACTCACATCTGGCAGCCCACTGAAGCTCAGCAGGTCTGAGCCTGGTCAGTACCTGGATGGGAGACCTCCTGGGAAAAACTAAGGTTGCTGCTGGAAGAGGTGTTAGTGGGGCCAGCAGTCCACGTGGGTCCTAATGCCCCAGTATAGTGATGGGGACACTATACTGTAAACAGGTGCTGTCCTTCGGATGAGAAGTAAAACCGAGGTCCTGACTGTCATTAAAAATCCCAGGGCGTTTCTTGAAAAGAGTAGGGGTGTAACCCCAGCGTCCTGGCCAAATTTCCCATTGGCCATTACCAATCATGGCCTCCTAATAATCCTCATCTATGGATTGGCTTCATTACTCTGCTTTCCTTCCCACTGAGAGCTGGTGTGTGGGGTGTGTACTGGTGCACTATGGCTGCCGTCGCGTCATCCAGGTGGGGCTGCACATTGGTGGTGGTGCAGGGGAGTCCCCATTACCTGTAAAGCGCTTTGAGTGGAGTGTCCAGAAAAGTGCTATATAAGTGTAAGCAATTATTATTATTATTAATTTTTATTTAAAGTGTTTCTTTCATCGATTAATGAAATTACTGTGGCTTGTCTTGAAAAGTATTTGATTATTTCTCAGTTTATTTTTTATTCCTGCATCGTAGAAGTAAAAATGGTCCCCTTCACTGCAGTATGTATCAATACTCTCCCCTAACTAAGGGTATATCGGTCTCCTCACAGCCTTATAAAATGGGCTTTTTTGGACATAGATCCAAAGAAAAAATATTCCATGTCTGTAGATTAATGGTAAATTGCAGAGTTCAGTGGCACACCCTTGTCATATCCATGCAAATTAATCACACAACACCCAAAAGGTCTCTGTCACTGGACAGTTAAAGAATGTCTAAGTAGGTATCAGCTACACCCTGAGTTCACCTGTGATTGGGTTAGGAGCAGTTTTCAGAACAAATCACTGGTTTTGTGTAGTGATAATATTTTTGAGTTTAAAATGGGTTTCCAAGTTTGCTTGGCTTTTAGAGAATGATATCAGGGATTGGTAACCATTCCATTGGTAACCAGTCATTTGCATCACTTAAGAAGTTTCCATTTGTCCTGAGAGCTGGCAATTACCAGTTTTCATAACCTCCACCACCACCTTTGACCCCAACCTGTTTAGTGACTACAAGGTCTGAAAGAAGTATCAAACGTTCTGTTGTGTGTGACCTGGAAACTAAGAGCCAGAACAGAAAATTGCCGACATGTTTAGTTCACTGAAATGACTTGACTGCGTCGCTTCACAAATGCTGACTCACTGTATGTTTATGATGGTAGCTGGGGAAAAAAGACCTGTGATCACGGTGCAACTTTGATAGAAGAACAAATTATTTGAACATTGTTTAAATCCTGCAAACTATAAAATTTGATTGAACCCACAATTGCAATTGATTCAATTATCTATTTTATTGTATGTTTTTTGGTCTTAGTAACAGTGATCAATGCTGACTTGCAACAAACACGATGAATGTGAAAGATACCACATTCAGGACTGTAAAACCCAATCTTTTTCGAATTCAATTTATTACAGATATTCGTGATTTATCTGTTCCGAAATGTCGGGTTGTGTTTGTTAATTTGAAGTCGCTCTCTTCAAGGTGTTCTTTTGGTAAAGTTGTACAAGTAAAAGGATACGGACGCCCATTCTGCTCTGTAGATTACTGCGTTGATTGGGTGTGGTTAATTAAATGTGACTTTTGCTTCCATAGCCCGCGAACTGAAGCTACGCACCTTTCCTTTAATGCTGTAAGAGCTGCACCATTTCTCCCCAACCAACGGGTCTGTTTGCCCTTTCAGGTGAGTCGGATATTGTACAGCTTCGCCACCGCCTTCCGACGCTCAGCAAGCAAGACTCCCCTCTCGGCACAGCCGCCCCCCATGACGCCAGACAGCGACGTGTTCACGTTCACCGTGTGTCTGGAGATCAAGGAGGATGACGGGAAAGGCTCGTTCAGGTATGCAGCGGACAACAAGTGCTGCGATGCTTTTGTTTTTGTTTTTCCCCCCCATTATGGAAGGTCACCTTTCCGGATATGGGCTCGGCGATGGTCTTTCAGTTCATAGACATGTTGCATCACTCGTTACTTTAGATGGACTGTGCAAGTCCTTTTGAGGACGGACAGGAACTTGTGGTTGTTTTTGCAGGAAAATGGACACGTCCGACCCCATCTCAAGACATGATAGAGGAGATAGTGGTGTCCCCGAATGAATGAATGAATGAATGCATTTGACATGCCTAAGTGTCTGTATACACACCCTCTAATTCCACTGACTAATGTCTCATTTTAGGACTCTAAACAGCAAATATACCATGCAGCTTTAATGTGTGTACCTGTTTGTATCTGTACCCATTTTCGTCAGACACTTCTTTTGAATCTGCATTCTAGACACTCATGCCTGTGGATGTAGTGCTTTTCTCATTGTATAAACCTCACAAGACTCACTCTTGCTGAAAGTCTTCTTGGCACGCAACGAGATTGGAAGTGCGCTGACAGATGTGACAAGATAGGGGTATGCTTACGGCCGTTGACTGTACTGAAACCCAGCCTCGGTATCAGGCTGCTGTTCCTATTGATGCATGCATCGGCTGGTGAGTTAGAAACTGCCGGGAAGCTTACAGCATCCGTAATTGAAACATGCACCACTGAATATCTTCCAGTCTGCACGGAAACGTAAATCATGCATCACTTTAATTGCAATAATTCATTTTTTTTTTTGTTTCCATGCACTTTGTGAATGGAGTGTGGTGCAAAGTAAAATACAATTCTGAACTTCGTCTTTCTTGAGCATCCTCGCTATAAACAAAAAGTCTAAATTTAGGTACTGAGCTTTTGTATGCATACAAATGGTTCCTTTCATTTATCACTGACTTTAAAACCTTACTTCTGCTTGTATGCACAAAGAAATGGTTTCAAACTAACAAGTCATATTTTTCATGTCATATTTCTGTCTTTTTTGTCATGTTTAATGGGAGTCAGAACCTTAGCAAGAGTACACAGTGTTGGTTAATGTGCAGGAGAGGATATTATATTTGCCAGAATCTCTCAGCCCCTACATTTTATGTTAAACAGGGAAGCTGAATATAACATACCTGTCATATCTATAGTATCCAGACATTTTCAGAAGTGATATTTGTGCTGGAGCAAGAGGAGCAGAACCTGTTTCCTGTCTTAACAGAGTTTTCTCTCTTCCCACAACTTAAGCACTAAGACTGGCAACATAAAAAATATAAATTGTTTATGACCACAAAAACTTAAGGAAAAAAGGAATTGTATTCATAGAAAAAGCCCTTCAAATTGTAAATGTAGAGCACCATTATAAGTACTTCGGTATATTCATCCTATATACCTTAACCTGTATTACCAGTAAAAAACAATATTATTTTAGTGTGATCTATGTTACATTAGCAGTAGAATATCATGGATGTTTGTAGGCCTTTTCCCTTAACTACAGCAGAAGATGGGCACTTGACGATATAGGAAAAATCTGGTATTAGCGCTTCAGCAAAATGTTTAGACCACTGATGGTTTCAGGTGGCAATTAATTCTGATTCTTTCTATTAAAGATGCATTCAAGCTGTCTGGTATTAGTTGACACATGTTATAGTAGAGGTACTGGGCTTGTGAGAGTGTCACTAGCTTAATTTCAGAGGTAACTGGTGTGATCATACTGCTGAGCTCTCGATTGTTCTTTCTCTGTGGTTTGTCTAAAGCTGCTCTTATTCTTTGGTGAGCTCGTCTTCTACTGATGGGCTTAACTGTAGCCACAAAATCTATCCTGCAAGTTCAGGAAGGGACTCAGATTGCCTTAGGTTGCATTACTTTGCATTTTGTTTATGGAAAGTAGCTCTTAAACTAGTTCTTCCTCTTGTCTTCAAGGCATCTTTGATTAACTCCTGTTTCTGACATCTGTGGGCTCTGATGTTGTCTTCTTTGGTTCTTGATTGAGTAATGAAGTTGAATAAAAAATCACTCCGGAGCTGTGAACCAGCCGTGCAGCAGGGGCTGTGTTTAGTGCTCAGCTGCTCTCTGGCTCCTGCTGATCCAGCTAGGGTTAGTCCATGCGGGGCTCCTTCAGTGTCAGCCTGCTGCAGCTGGGTTTAGTCCATGCAGGTGGTGCAGGGCTCCTTCAGTGTCAGCCTGCTGCAGCTGGGTTTAGTCCCTGCAGGTGGTTCAGGGTTACTTCAGTTTCAGTCTGTTGCAGCTGGGGTTAGTCTCACCCAAAGTGAAGTACCTGCTAGTGCGAAAAGGGACATGCTTCCTTGATCACCTATACAGCATGCTCACACCTCTCCCTGACGTTACCATACACGTGACTTGAGATTCTGCGGCCTTGGATTAAACTATGTCAATATTTAAATCGTTCCCTAACAATGGCAACCGCTAAGGACAGTTTTTTTCCTTCCGAAAAGCAATTTTGTCTTTGCCTTGTTATATAATTCAGGGGACTGTTATCGGGCCATTACACTCAGATTCTCAGAAGGAAGAGAAAGGAATAATTGTTTTTTGCAGTAGCATTAGACTCTCCCTTTGTTGTGGTTTATAAAAGTCTGCCAGGAAATGAAAAATTGCCATTTCCCCTGCACTCATTTGCCCAGCAGCCTCTATCGAGTTTTCATAATATTTTTTTTAAAGATGCAATTTATTTCAGTAATGGGGCTTTACAATACAAGACCTTTGGTGGGTTCATCTTCTGAGATCTAACCTCAGACAACACGTAATGAGTGTGATGGCTTGAGCAAAACTGTATATCATCACATCTGACAGTCATGAATAGAGGTGCACACATATTGCGTTTACATAGCTTGTGTAACACTAATTTTCAGAATGTTTTTCTTCTTCATGGGTAAGATATTCATGTATAAATGTCAGTTATTTTTAATGCTTAATTTCTTCACTGGTTCACTAGAATCTATATGTTAAATTGTGTGTGAATAATATGAAATGTTCTTTGTGTAATTAGTTTATTCTGATAATTTCCAGTTTCCTTTATATCCTTTCCATAGTGTTTTATGTGAGAGTCACAGTATTGATTATGATGCCATTTCTATAAGTTCAAAACATGTAGATCATGGGTGGCCAACCCAGGTCTTGAAATGCCACAGCTCAGCAGGTCTTACAGTTCCTTCTGAAATTACCAGTTTGTCTAGACCGAATGAGTTTTGAACAGTTTCACAAGTTAATTGGTAAAGGGATAGCCAGCAGTGGTCCCTGGAATTTTCAAGTTGGATGATGTCTGATCTACCAGGTTGAACAAAAACGCCTCCTTCGGTGGTCAAAGAAAATTTGATCTCGATATTTAGAAATGAATAATTTAAGGACGACACCCCAAACCTACTGGGTTGTGGTTAACCAAAACCAGGTTTGTCCATCCCTGATATAAAAGCTGATGGTAACAGAACATGCCATGAATGACCCCAGACCCTTGCTGTGGACCTGTGGAATCTGTTAACCTGTTGTCGTGTTTGTCTGTGTGTTGGTGGGGTGGGATAGTGCTGTAGCAAAAGACAAGGACAAGCAGTGCTTCAGACTCCGGCCCGGGATGGACAGGAAGATTGTCATCTACGTTCAGCAGACTTCCAATAAGGAGCTTGCCATCGAAAGGTAAAGACGGCACAGCGTCTTTTCGCTGCCGGGTGTCAGTTCATGAGGGACTCGCGAATGTCACTTTAAAACGAGCGATGTGACTCTTTTTTTAATACAAGGAGGGCATTTCAGCTGTTCTCTAGTAATCAGACTTTAAATTCATTTGCAAAGACAGGAGAATGTCATTGTTCTCATTCGTGGTACTTAGCACACTTTCTCATCGGTGGAAGATCTCGCTCGCTCTGTGGTTGTGATTTGGTTAATTTCTACCTCTTGCCTGCTGTGCGCATCATGATCATGCAGTAATGAAGCATGCATTCACATGTGATTTCCAACTAAATTAATGTCTAATGGGCCTGGAGAAATCTTGGTAATAGAATATTTGTTCCAATGAATAATACTCCAGCATTTGTTCATTTTGAATCAATGCTTACTTTGTAGATCAAGGCTGCTTTTTCAAAGTTTATGTGCTGTCAGACGTATCCATACATTACTTCTTTGATCATATTTACAACAGAGGCTGAAATTTTGTTTCTCTTCTTTTTAAGGTGCTTTGGACTTCTGCTCAGCCCGGGCAAAGATGTTCGTAACAGCGATATGCACCTGCTGGATTTGGTAAGGGGCTGTTTGTTTTCCCTTTGCTTTCAAATGTTTTAACTGTTCTTTAGGGCTTTGATATAGATCTGCATCGGAGTAAAAAGCAGAGCAGAGCCATACTGTAATAAAATACACAATGCTATAAAATCTTTTTTAAGCACTTTCTATAAAGCATGCAGTGCAAAGCAGGACTATACCCTAATCCGGTCTGTGATTAGGATGTGAGACCCCTTATACACACATGCATAATGTAGAAATGCCAAGTAACTCATGAAGCACAATTTGGGAGGTTTTAGGAAACTAGAGCACCAAGAACAAAGAATATTCCCCAGTACTGAACGCAGGTCCAATGAGCTATGGTGGAGAAGAGGTGAGCAGCACAACACAACATGTTGTTCGTAAAGGAGTTCTTCACACCATAGTGTACAGTGTGGCTTAATCCCAGTCCTGTAGAGACTGAGTGATCTTCAGCTGCCTCTGTGCCTTCTCACTCTGTCACCACTGCTCTCATATAATTCCATGGAGATAAGAGGATTCGTGAACGTTACAAATCTGAAGTTTAAATATTTGCATTTCGTCAATAACAGAACAATTGTTTTTCTTTATGAACAGGACACGCTATTACACTGGTACTTACGTGTGGTTCCCTCACTGATGTTAGCTCAGGGCTGCGCTTTGCTAGCTCAGCGGTACATGCGAAATGGGATTCTGCATTCGGTTCCAGACAAGTTCTGAGAATTCTGATTACATGTCAGGCTCTTCCCTCTTTGCATGACCTTGTTTGACCTGAGATTTGATTCCGCTGAAATCTTTAATTCACCTTAAGTCCCCTTCCCGTGCATTACTGTGAATGAGCTGAGTTTGCTATTCCTTTTTATTTCATAAACAAAGTGTTCAATTCACAGGCTTTCTTTTGTATTAATATCGTTCACGGAAGTGTATGGGATAAATTATTCAGGCAATTGAGAGTTCACGGAATTCTAAAAAGAAATGACCTACCATGTATAAGGCCGCACAAAGGACTCTTCTCATTAGTGTTAACCCTTAACTTGCAAAACCAAAGAACTGCATTAAAATGTTGCTAATTTGATGTTGAGATTTTCTACATGACATCTACTAGCTGAGCACAGTATAGCATGTACAAGTCTGATAGCAGTCCTGTAGTTACCTCCATCAGCTGCTATTTTTACAATAACATGATTATTTTTATTACTACCTTTTGTTGGGACTACGTTAATATTATTATCTGGAATCCTGGTTTTTCCAGGCGTGAAAGATTGTTTCTGCATCTCTCTTCCCAGAGGGAGGCTCTGGTCATCACCTTGCTGTCTCTCTGCATTCAGCATTTATTCTGAACACTTTTGTTGGTTTTGCCAGATAGCTTCCACCATCCAAAAATTCTGAACGCAATGAATGTGTTAAAGTGGAATTGATTTAGCCTGGACTGATGGTCATTTCTGTGATGGTGGGATGGAGCTGAGCTGTTACCATTTAATGAAATGGGTACAGTGACCATTCTTGTTAGGACGGACGCCACACTGACTCACTCCCTGCTAATGTTTCTCTTCCCGAATCAAGGAGTCAATGGGTAAGAGCTCGGATGGGAAGTCTTATGTCATCACAGGGAGCTGGAATCCCAACACTCCACACTTCCAGGCTGTCAACGAGGAAACACCTAAAGGTAATTCTGAGTTAATGAATTGGACTCAATTGGCTACTACTTGCATCAAAGGCAACTTAAAGGGGTTGCAGTTCTCTTCTTTTTTTTTTTACGGATTAATTAGTAAAGTAATTTGGAGTGAAGGCCATTGTTTCAGTGTTCAGTAGCTGAGGATTCCCCTCTTGGATTTGAACTCTCAACTCCCGCAGCCAAGAGTTCACAGCCCTGACCACTGCTTTCCACTGCTGCCCTCATCACAATTTCTGATTTCATTCAACCACCATAGGATGGAAGGTGAAGAAACTTAGATTTGTGAAGCCACAACAGTGGTGCAGTGTCCAAGCAGTCGTACAAAAGCAGTCTTGGCTTTTCTAATTTGACGATCTCCATTTGTTTTTGCTGGCAGCCTAAAGGCTGATTTTAGTCGCCCAGGGTGTTTTTTTTGTGTGACCATTTTTTGGCTCAAAATAGCTACAGCCATGATCTACCCCCTCTGTCTAAGGCAGATATTTCTTCCTGTTGCAGGGGGTTGACATGTGCTCCTTTGTGTGACTTCTTCCTGAAAGCTCAATGGGGTTTTGTTTCCTTGCAGATAAATTAATGTACATGACGACAGCGGTTGATCTAGTTATCACTGAGGTGGAAGAGCCTGTCCGATTCCTTCTGGAGACGAAAGTGCGAGTATGTTCCCCTAATGAGAGAATGTTCTGGCCTTTCAGCAAGAGAAGCTACACGGAGACTTTCTACCTAAAGTTAAAACAGGTGGGGAATCACTAAGTGCCAATCGCTGTCATTCATGTGCATTTCTTAATTCATTTAAACATAACCAGCAGCTATATCATCACTGAAGCTCAGCAGGTCTGAGCCTGGCCAGTACCTGGATGGGAGACCTCCTGGGAAAAACTAAGGTTGCTGCTTGAAGTGGTGTTAGTGGGACCAGTAGAGGCGGAGAGGTGGCACTGTGGCTAAGGATCTGCACCTGTGACTGGAAGGTTGCTGGTTCAAATCCCACAGATGGCAGAGGAATCCTTCTCTGTTGGGCCCCTGAGCAAGGCCCTTCACCCCAACTGCTCCAGGAGCGCCGTACAATGGCTGACCCTGCGCTCTGACCCCAAGCTGCTCTCCCTGTCTGTGTGTCTCATGGAGAGCAAGCTGGGGTATGCGAAAAGATAAATTCCTAATGCAAGAAATTATATATGGCTAATAAACTGATCTTATCTTATCTTAGAGGACACTCATGGGGTCTGTGTGGGTCCTAATGTTTCAATATAATGATGGGGTCAATGTGCTGTCCTTCAGTTGAGACATAAAACCGAGGTCCTGACTCGCTCTGGTCATTAAAAATTCTAGGGTGTTGCTCGAAAAGAGTAGGGGTGTTACCCCCAGTGTCATTGCTAAATTCCCCCCACCCCCCGGTCTTTACCAGTCATGGCCTAATAATCACCCAGTAATGAACTGGCTTCATTACTCTGTTCTCCTCCCCACTGAGAGCTGATGAGCGTACTGAAATGTATTATTATTAACATAGGCTATAGAAGATCTAGTTTGGCACAAAAGCTCCTTTCATGAACACATATATTGTGACAGAGCCTAAGACCGTGTGTGTCTATTGCGCGTATTGGGGTAAAATGTACGTTTCACAAATCTCTTGCAAAGGCAATGCTGGAGAATGTGTTTCCTTACTCGTTTGTTTCAGTTTTCCACATCTCCCCTTTCTGAAAGGAATCGTGAAATAAAATCTAGCTTTCCAATTATAAAAAAGTAATTTAAGAAGTATCTTCATGGAGGTATTCAGTATCTGGAAGAAGAGTTATTTTCCTTATCTGTCGGAGAAATGTGTGCTGACTTCTATGCATGTAGCTAGCTTGATTTAAATACTGGTTAACCAGAATATAACAGATTAGGAATATGTACTGAGTCCCTGGAGGGAGAGAATTTGGAGGGTCTGAATTTCTTTCATTTTTGTAGCTGAAAGAATACTAATTTTGGGCCAAGGTTATGAACCACAGGCTTCACTGTGTTCACGATAATGTTCAAAATAAAGTTAGGAGGATTATTAATGACACTGGTATGTTTCATAAAATGTGATCTAAATATCTTCTGAGGACATTTTCTATAAATCTGAAGAATGGCCTTGACAATTATCATGAGTATTTTTCTTCATAGCGGCCTGTAAAGAACCTACTATCTCACGAGGTGCCTTGTAAGAATGAACTCCAGAGAGTCTACCCTTGGGACCGTATTAAATTTGAATCTCTTGGAGTGCCATTGAATTATTTCAGTGCAGCCATAGAACGAGGCCAGGATTAGTGGTTTAGAGCTCTTTTTCGTTGTAGGCAATGCTGCCGAAAAAATAAGAAACCGATGTCCTGAATTGAAGTGCAGATCCTGTATTATTGGAGCAGGAAGGTCATTTTCCAAAGCATCCACTTAGAAACTGCAATATCTGTTTCACCCACTTTATTCTGTGTTTTTGAACACCTTAATATCCTTGATGTCAGAAAGAACTAGTTACTGGTGCTATTTGTTTTATTGGAATTATACTGACCTCTGGGTTCCAGTTGTAAAACGGTCATGTTAAAAACCTATCCTGTGGAAAAAAAATCTGAAAACTGAAAAAAAAAACGGTTTGTCTTGGCCGGGCACTGTGACTGTGGAGGTTTTAACCTTTTCAACATTTTGTCCCTTGGGTAGCATCTAACATTAATGAGAAATACATTTCTGACATTTCTTTTTTTTTTCTGAAAATGTTGAATATGAAGAAAACAGCAGCCTTGGTTTGATGTTTGTCGGTGGCAGCTGAGAACGGTAAAAATTAACCCAGAGATAACCCTTTCACACATCTCACATTAGAAAATCTTATCCCAAAATACATTTTTTCAAATTACAATGGCAGATGTGTTCACTCTAGGATTGAGCTTTAAGTGAAATTGGTTTTTTTGGGGGGTAAGAACTTTGTTTTACACCCCTGTGGTTCTGCAGTGCTCTGCTTTGCTTGTTGAAGGATGATTTACCGACCCTAAATGCCACCTCCAGGTTCCCAACCTTTTGTTTACAGTTTTGCGTCAAAGTTCCTTCTGATTTCAGATGGATCGGAAGGACAGGAAGAGTAACGCAGACACCCTCTATGAGGTTGTGAGTCTGGAGAGCGAGACGGAGAGGGAGCACAAGAAAACCACAGCCAGCCCCTCCATCCCTCAGTCCACATCCCAGAGCTCAATGATCCCCTCGCCCCCTGAGGATGACGAGGACGAAGGTAGGCCCAGGCACACTGTATATCCAGCGGCACCTGCTGTTGGACCTGTTCACCATTGCAAGCGTGGGCGCCGACTATTCAAATTCTGGGGGCTGGGGGAGCCAAAAAATTCACACCCCCTCCCATAACGTTTTCAGTCTCTATAAGTTATCTAAATGCACAAGGTGAAGTCCACTTAAAAACATTCAACTATTTTTTTTAAGTCCAGATGAATAACAAAAGCTCCACTTTTGTGCCCTTGTTTTTAAGCTGTTATTTTATTACTGTATCTATTTAAAAATACAGTAGCATTAATGTTTAAGAGTGGTTGATAGAACAATGCCTTTTGCTTAATCTAGAGTAAAATAAAAATGACCATGCTTTTGCATTATGCGTAAAGTGTTAGCTGGATTAAACTCGGTTTGCTGATGTACTGTAATGGAAATGACTGCAGCGGGGATGCAGAGAGTGTTCATCTTGTTGGACAGAATGGGTGCAAACCCGTATCGTCACTCCGAGCCGACCTGATCATTGCATTCTTCACAGAGCTGATCAGGTCACGGAAGGGGTGCCATCGAATTTCTACGAGTCTCCACGCCTTGTTTTAGCTGGTCAGAGTAGGAATAACGAGTTGGGCCACTCCAACAAGCAAGAAGAGCTCGAACAGCAGGTGACAGGTGTTCCACAAGGCTTTGAAATATCTGTCCAGTTCCATTGATCTAGCGGGTTTCCCTTCGTAGCTGAGGTTATGTCTAGGGTTTTGGTATTGATCTTCACATCCCACTAGTTCCAACATTTCTTTTTAGTACAAATAGGAATCTGGGAGCTGCCCTGGCCTGGACAGGTGATCCAGAACCCAATTGGTCACTATGATCAAGGAGCGGCCATGTTGCCAATAGGCTAGAGTTATCAAACAAGTGTGACAGCATGGGACACTGCTGTAGTAGGTACCTTTCATCAGATCAGATGTGACACTGAGGTTCTTATTCCATGCTTATTAAAGATCCCATTGCCTGTTTAGGGGTATAACCCGGGTTCCCTAACAGATTCCCACTGGGCTTATACAGTTTACCCATGTTCAATTAATGAAGCAATTCCTTATGTCTCCTGCTGATTGCTGTGTTGCATCCAGGTGGGCAGTGCTTCATAGGTGGTTGAAGTGGGTCCCCTCGTATGTGTGAAATGCTTTAAGGCTCCTTTGGAGTGAAATTTAATAAATGCAAAACATGAACCATAATCCAAACAAGCAATCAAACTAAATGTTGCCTGCTTATTCTGTTTTGGCCAGTGGGTAAATATTTTTATACTCGGGTGTATATATATGTATTTTCTAATATGAAATACGATGTTGGTTGTTGTACATTTAAAAGAAAAAAACAATGCAAAACAGTGCCCATAGCAGCAATTAGCACTGAGTTATTTAAAAGCTGCATTGCACAATTGTAGCATTGCTGCAGCTACAGGATTCATGCACAGTGTGCTCTCTCACGGCAGACACAGCTGACATGTGACTAGCCAGTTTGAGAAAATCCACGTCTCCGAGATCTCGTTGGAACCCTGAGGTCTGGAAACCAAGTAGCACGATGTCAAACAGTTTACCATTGTTTTTTCAAACTTTTTTTTCCCCCAGAACTTGCTGTATCCTAGTAGGCAGAGACCACATCGTTTCCCTTAAATAGTGTTAGAAGGGATCATTTCTCCCGCCTTTAAAATTCAACTCATTTGGACCGACCTGTCCCATTGGAACCCAAAAAAAAAAATTTGACTACATTTCGGCAGTGCTTTCTGAGCTCCTTCCTCCCTGCGAGAAACAAAGTGCTGTTGAATGTCTTTGGTAACAGAAACCTCCACAGCCTCATGTGCTCAGGGGGCTCCAGGTCAAACTTGGAATTAGATAGATACGTTATTGAACCCGTGAGGGAAATTGCAGTGCAACAGCAGCTTAACACAGACAACACAGCAACAGTGTAACGAATGATACAATAATAATAATAATACAATACATACAATACAATCAGTACAGTGAGGGGTGCACTAAAAGAGTTACTCACAGTCCGGACACACAAAGAACAAACTAGAACGGAACAGTACACAGAAAAATCGTATCACACATATGAATATAAATATAGATGTAAATCTAGATATAAATATAAATGTCTTGCACGGGTCCCTGTGTGTTTGACTGGCATCCCGGGCAGCCTCCACCACTTGACGTGTTCCGTCAGTGTCTCTCCAGTCACCCCTGCGCCTCTGTGTCCCTGTGGTTTTCCCAGACAACGACGAACCGTTGCTGAGCGGCTCTGGAGACGTGTCAAAGGAGTGTGCCGAGAAGATACTCGAAACGTGGGGGGATCTGTTGTCGAAATGGTGAGTGGGGTTCTTTTCCGGAGCCTCTGTGCTCCTACACGTTAAACCACGGACATGCACTTTAGGTCACTTTTTTTTGTTTCCTACCGCTGGATTTCCTTTCCAGGCGCTTGGTGTTCCCTTGCACAGGCACGTGGTCAAAATTACCGCTCGCCCATTATCTTGTTCAAATCAAATCCTTGCTTTCGTTTTCCAGGCGTTTCTGTACACTGGCACCACGGTGCTCAATCACATTAATAAAAAAAAAAACAGCACAGCTGCAGGAGATACGGGCTGTTCCCCAACAAGTAATGACAGATTTAATCGAGTTCAGATATTGAGGGGTGCCATGTTTGTCTCAGCCAAAATGAGAAATTAGCTAGGACACCAGGGTTAACATTATTTCTCTTAGGATCAGGGATCTTTAATGACCAAATAGCTAGGACATCTTAACCTTAGCATTTCATCCAAAGGACTGTATCTCTTACAGCACTCTAGTCATCATACTGGGGCATTGGTTTGGAAATTAGTGTCCAGGGGGGAGATCGCCACCTACTGGTCCACCCACACTGCTTATATCTGCAACCTGGTTCTCCGATTCTAGTACTGACCAGGCTCGGCCTGCTCACCTTCTCCAATCTGACAAAAGTCAGGCTTTACAGTGGTAGTGCTGCTGTGTGGCTGGCCGTTAATGGAGGAGTTCTTGAGTAAACCAGATTGCACAAGCCCAGTCTGTGAAACGGGCAGTCTTAAACATGCTCACTAACGCACGAGGAAACACAAAATCATGTAGTAACCGAGTACAAATTAAAGTCTTATTGAATTTGCATTGCTTTTCAAAGATCGGACTGTGTTTGATGACAAGCGATCAAGCTATTTAAGGCTTGCATGGAGTATTTTTCTGAAAAGGGGGCTCCCAGCACGATAGGTTATTTTCCTCCAAAGTTGTTGTGCGAACAGACGAAAACTTGTGTTCTAAACTAACAGTAACATTTTCAAAGCAGTAATTGTCTCTTTATCTCCATTGTGGCTGCTCTCTTTGTTGAAAGTAATGTGGACTGACCTAATTGGTGATGAGTCCTCCTATTCTAATCTGCTTTTTCCCTTGCCCCCAAGCTACCCTTCATGTGACACCTATCATAGGATGCCATAAATGCTGAATGATTTCCTTGTGATTCATTGTTTAAGAGCAGCAGTGAAAACTAGAACATTTCAAGGCACACTGAAAATAAAAGCACTGTCATGTAGTCTAGATGAAATTATATGCTCCACTGCCATTGTATTGAGGCCATGGTGATGTGAAAGTGTATAGTTATCGGAACACTAACCTGCTGTGTGTATATGGAGGGGTCGGGTGATCTGAACATTAGCTTGTGGTCAGAGGTGGCCATCAGAGCATCATCAGACTTAGAGAGAACTTCTGTCCCATTTAAATCTGCTTTTCACTTAGATGTAAAAAACGAAAAAGGACACTTTTTTGTCCTTCACAATTTTGCCAGAACTTTCTCCTACAGTTTAAGTTTACCTTATTTGGAATGGCAGAACAGTACTGAACATTTTTTTTTTTCCAGGCGACTATGCAGTCCTGGTCAGGGTGCTTTTATAGTTGAATAGCAAGTGTATTTTTCTCAGTATATCAAATAGCATTGCATGAGAGAGGTATGTGAATCTGTTGACGTACGTAAAATTTACAATCTTCTCTGCTGCTGGCTTGTTTTTTTTTTAAACCCAGAAGAGATTTGAGAATTCACCAGGTCTCCAATCATCTGGGCTTTCCTCAAAAGTCGCCTAAAATGTCTTTTCCCTTAAAATTTCAGAATATAGCTTGTTTGTTTAACATTTAGCTGCTGAACAAATGCGAAGAATCACTGTGGAATTTCCAGTGAAGCTTGATAATACAGCTACTTTTCCAGGCTCAGAAGGGAAGTGCTTTAGGGTCTGCAAAATTTGCTCATTTTAGAGTTTGAAGTGCTTATCAAGCTTGGAAAAAACATTGTTGTTTCACTTCATAATAGAATAGATACAAAAGAGCAGAGCAATTTTATGAGGGCAAAATATTGAGATATTTCTGATTTACTGTATGTTTAGCCATAAGCATTTCTCCTTAGGTGAATTTTGGATAGCTTGGACAACTTTTCTTATGGATGCTTTACTAAAATGAATGCTTCAGGCTAGCTTATCTCTTATAATATCATAATATCCTCCATCGTGGGAAGAAAGTAATTATTATTGTTACCAATCCAGGTACGTCAATGTGAGTTGAAAATCAGTCAATAGCACATTTTCCACTTGGATATTAAATAGGCAGTGCTTAATCATACCGATAAACCTGAACGCTGTCTTGTAGGGGGATCATGAAATATGAGAGCTAAACCCTCTTAAAATGAGCATTTTTATGTGCATCACTCAGTTTTTTACAAACTTTACAACTGAGGACAGCATTTTAAATAAACAACAGATCTGAGCAGTTATACTAACAATAATTTGATAATATCAAATATCTGTGCAATGTGTGTGATTTAAATGCAAACATTGCTAAAAGTTTTTAACCCCTGCATCCTAAATTAGAGCGGTCAAGGGAATCAGTTAAATTCAGACACTGAATCATATTCTCACTCCTCTTTGCTATTCCCAGCCCCATGCATTTGATTAAAACATCGAGTATTATTTTTTCTAAAAAAAAAAAAGCTTGGGAATTTAATTAAAAGGATGCTAAAAATAACATTTTCATTAGTTGCCTTTTTGCACTCTTTTCTCAGGCTTGGAAAGTTCATTAATCTTTTGCACATACAGTCTGTGTCGGAGTGAAATTAGACCAATCCCAGGGTTACTAACCTTTATAGTCTGAGGCAGTTAGTCTTTCTTTGAAAAAAGAATGCAGAGGTCGGGTCTGCACTGCAAGGGTGCTTTCGTTTTCTTTCTGTTTGGGGGGGGGGGTGCACTTCCCAGAGATAGCTTTTTAGTTGGAATTAAAAACTCTGCTTTTCCGGCTGCAGAAAATTTGTCTCCACGCCTGGCAGCGTTTAAGAATGGAAGATACGCAGGTGTTGAGTAACTGCTATCGTAGAACAAGCACTGATAAAGCATGCAGGAGGAAAAAGATGTAAAACTGTGAATGCAGCATTCTGAGCACAATGGGAGAATGTAATTCACGAATGTTTGTTTACTTTGAAGTTAAATTGATTCCCTTCTGGCCTAATTATTGTGTGCGAAGAAAGCTTTCTGAGGAAGTATCCCAGCACACAACGTTCCAGAGCAGTTGGCGAGCATTTCTAATAGCGGCCTGCATATTGTTCCCTGAAGACTGGAGGGAAATCGCTTTGATCTTCCCAGTGTAAATTAAAGAGGCTGCCGTGAGAGGCCACCTGAGACTGTCTATTCCTAGAACTGCATTAATAGAATCCGGAAATGTAAAAATGGGCCGTGCAGCCTTTATCTTCATGGCGCATTATTGCGGCAGTGTAATTTTTACCGCGAGCCTCCAGAAAAAAAAAGAATCCAAAACCGTCGGCTCTCGTGGAGTGCCAGCACACTCCCAACACTAAGACGCCACACAGAAACAGGCTGAATCCAAAGCTTTACAGCTGCCATCTTCCTCGGGGTCGTCTCTCCCTCTGCCCACTTCTTATGAGGATTTTGGGGAATGTGTTGAGGATCCACGGGAGGGACAGGTGGCGCTTTGCAGAGGACCGTGTCATTGTTACAACCCTGTTCCTCATGTGAGGGTTTCCCCTCAACGGGAAGAGCTATTCTTCCGAAAGGGAAGTCAGAGTAGGGAGCTGTGTCAGCATGCGTAGGCTGAAGGTTGGTTCCACTCCGAAAAGAAAAGACACATTCCAGTTGAGGAACTTTCTTCAGGTGTGAAGAGGCTGGGAAGCACACCTGAAGAAGTCTCCACTGCCGCAAATCTTGTCTCTTTTCCTTTCCTTTCAAACCCTAAACCTCCACCTGTTCCATTGATTTTTTTTTTTAAATAACGTGCGAGATATTGGATGTATTCAATTATTTGACTGCATGTCATAACACAGTCATGGTTTGATAACATTTCAGGGGTTTCTTTTCACTGTTTGTCACAAAGCTTTTTGTGTTTTGAGCCTGATGGGATTGCCATTAAAGAGGCAGTAAGGTTGAAAAGCAACTTCAGTATACGTATCGGTTGTAGGATATCCCTTGCAATACGCAGTGATACCCCTGCATTAACCTGGAATTGGATGCTGTCGGATTCGAAGCTTTGAATTGAATTGTTTTGCACTGAAGCGCAAGATGAAATGCGGTGTCCAGTTGTAGGTAGCCTTCTCCTGTAGTACGTGCGAATGCGAACAGTTTTTCTCGTCAACAAAGATCAACAAATCAGTTTTATGGTCAAGACTCGGCGATGAACATTTACGAGATAGGCTGATTCACGTGATATCAGGCGTAATGTTTGACGTTCTGGTCTCTGCAGAACGCTGTCAGTGAAGCAGCCAGAATGAAGAACTTCAGAAATAACCTTACATGATGTCAAGTACATTGTGTAAAGTTAAGCAACATGTTTCAAATAACAATTTCAGTTTCAATTATTTTTTTTATATTTGTATGTGTATGAATGTGGCCCATTGATTAGCGTATTTGATCAAATGTGAGCCCCCTATTCATTTGAGTTTTAAGGTTTTAATTGGGGAACTGCTTTAAGGTTTTAATTGGGGAACTGCAACATATGCTGCACACATGACCCAAAACCGCTGAATGAAAATGCATCATAAACTGTAGTCTGTTTTCATTCCACTTGTTTCTTTTGGTTGATAACTTCTGAAAGTTACAAAAACTAAAGCGCTTTCCAATGAAAAGCTGTTGATAGTCTTAACATGTGGCTGACAACTTTAAATAGATTCAGTTTCCTAGTTTCTTTCTCAGCAGATGATGAAATGCTGCTGTTGAGTATGTTGCTCTTAAATTCCTTTTATCCCGTGCCTAAATGTCCCCCAGAAGCCATGTCACATTAGTGGTTTTTTTGCTACATCTTGAATGTGGCTGCTCTGTATTGCTCAAGAGGATGAGAGGCAATGACTGTTTTTGAATTGGCACCCAGAGTGTTTTAGGAATATTTTTAAACATGTGCAAATTTGTTTTCTTATTTCTATACGCCCGCGTTTTGAGCAGCACACTGTGAAGAAAACCGTTCCCATGTCTTATGAGTGAGACTCTGCTTTTTGTCAGGGTTTGATCAGAGCTGTTGCTGGACAGATGGCCAGCCGGTCAAAGACCAGGAAATTATTATAATAATTGATAATTGCTTACACTTACATAACGCTTTTCTGGACACTCCACTCAAAAGTGCTTTACTGGTAGTGGGGAATCCCACGACCACCACCAATGTGCAGCCCCACCTGGATGATGCAACAGCAGCCAGAGTGCGCCAGTCTGCTCCCCACACACCAGCTCTCAGTGGGGAGGAGAGCAGAATGATGAAGCCCATTCAGAGATGGGGATTATTAGGAGGCCATAATTGGTAAAGACCAATGGGAAATTTGGCCAGGTAACACTCCTACTCATTTAAAAAAAATGCCCAGGGATTTTTAATGACCACAGAGAATCAGGACCTCGGTTTTATGTTGTGTCTGAAGGATGGCGCCATTTGTCAATGAGGAAAGACACAGTTCTTTACGTTACAGTTAAATTCCAGTCTTTTGAATATCCAGCGTTACCCATTTTTGGGCCACTAAAAATGTATATAGTGTAATACACTGCCTGCACAGAGGTATAGCATTATGGGGGAAAACTGTTGCACAAAACCTTGTTTTCTGTATGGGTATTCTTCAGTGACAGCTGGCGATTGTTGGTCTTGGCAACAAGATTGTTATAAACTCTCCTCGCTTGTTACGTGAATGTTCCCAGCTTGTCTTGTTTTTCAACACAAACAGTCTTAAGAGTCTCCTAGAAATGTGGATATTTATTTCTAGATTTTTCTTGTGCAAAGCTCTCTTGCCGTGGCCCCTCGTCCTGCCCCCACCCCCAATCTTCTCAAATACAGGTCGCTAGGTCGTTGCCCATTTCTTCACACACAGCCTCTTTAAAGTGACATCAGTTTGTTTCATAAGCTACAGCTGGGTTGTGTTGTGAAATATGCAGTAACCTCAACAAGTGCCAAAACTGAATTAATCCATACTTGTGACCCAATTATTTTAACCCTCCCCCTTCTGTAATCTTCAAACAAGCAAAGATTTACAAGCTAACTTGGTAGATTCATTACAGTGCTTTTTTTCCCCATTAATACAAAGCAAAATACTAGTAAATATGTTTTTTGGTAATACATAACCCATGCATAGTGTGACTTAATTGATATTCATTGCATACAAAGAAAATTTGAATAAACACGCAGAATCGTTTACTCCCCTATCAGCTGGTTCCAATTCCTAGAGATCATGAGCAGCAGAAACTGGCACATTGCAACAGATGACTTGAACTAATCCACTTCACAGAAATCCTTTCCTGCCTGATTGAACGTTCTGAACTAGGCTCAATCTAGCACAATGGCATGTGATGCCTATAGCTATGGTCCTCAATAGCTAGGGATCTCAGGATCCACCGAGGTTCCAGATGGTTGGGGCCACATAAAAAGGGACATTAGACTGAAGCAAAGGGGCCTTCTAGTTTGTATTTTCTATCTTGTGTTTGTGACGTTATCTTTGAACTCCTTATGGATGAAGTCCATGCTGGACTGGGGTAGAATTATGCACCTAAGTGAGGCAGAAGAAGATCTTTCTTAATGAGAAAAAGGCTCATCTGATGAACTTCAGGGTAAGGCATTTTGTGCATTAGGGACTACTGCAGAAGATGCCCCCTTTTTTTTATCGTGATGACCTTATGCACTTGAGTCAGACCCCTGTGATTGGAACGGCATTCCAGGGACATCAAGTAGTGGGGATTTGCATGTTGGACATGCTGAACAGAGAGCTGCTGACCACATAGAATATATAACCTTGTAAAAGAAAAGCAATTTGTCCTGAAGCTCATTTTTCTCAGTTTTCATGTAGAGAACATTTGTTAAGCTCAGTAATGCCTTTATTTACCCTCCTACAGGCACTATGCTCAGTTCTATAATGATTGCTTTGAACGCTTTCCCCTTTTTATGATTTCTTTCAATGCAATTGTACATACATTTCCATGAATTAAGGGAAAGTGCAGTCTTGAAAAATGGAAACATTGTGTCAGACCCACAGAGCAATTTCAGCGTTGGTCCTTGGGGGTTCTGGAGTCTTGTACTTAACTTGTCTCCCACGCTGATTTCTTTGAACCTGCTTATTTGAGTTCATTACAGAGATCGGAATTGAATCTGCGTACTGGGGTGTTAACTGTGATTTTGTTAATATGGGACGTTGTCTGGTGGGCTCTATTTGCAAAGCTGCTCCTTTATGTACCATGCTTTTATTTTTCTGGGCGTTAATTGGACAGGATTTTCAGGTTGGTACCGGAATGTGAAATGCAAATTTAGAACCTGCTCGACTGGTCACTTTTTACTCGCTGGTTTGAGGGTCTCCTCGTTCCATTTTCACATTAGAGCCAACAGCAGGGGCCCGTGGGTTTCAGATCGCTGATCGCGTTCCAGTTGATGAGCTCTGAGATCTTGTGGTTCACGCGCACAGATGCAGGTGTTTATCTGTTCTTGGCCTGTTCTGAGTTTCTATACAGGGTGTGGCAGTGGGGGGGGAGTGTTTTCAGCTCTGACTTTTTTGTGTGCTGTTTTGGTTTCGGTCCGCAGCATCACCACGTCAAGCCCGTGCTTACAGGCCCATCGCACACAATCTCTTAAATGTCTTGCCTTCAGCCATCCATCCATTTTCACTCCCCCTTTGCTGGTGAGGGTCGTATTCAGCAAGCCATGTAGATCAGCCCAGACTTCCCTGTCCCTAGCAACACATTCCAGCTCCTCCTGGGAAATCCCCAGCCACTCCCAAGCCAGCCGAGAGATATAAACCCCCCAGCATGTCCTGGGTCTGCCACAGGGTCTCCGCCCAGTGGGACGTGCCCGGAACAGCTCCAGCGCAAGCCGACTGGTGGGCATCCTTATGAAATGCCCAAACCACCTCAACCGGCTCCTCTCGATCTGGAGGAGCAGCAACTCCACTCCGAGGCTCTCCTCACCCTGTCACGGAGAGACAGCCCGGCCGCCCTGCGGAGAAACCCCATTCCTGCCGCTTCTATCCGCGATCTCGTTCTTTCGGGTTCGTTACCCACAGCTCATGACCATAGGTGAGGACAGGGACGTAAACCGAGAGCTTTGTCTTCCAGCTCAGCGCCCGCCGACGCTGCCCCGATCTGCTTGTCGATCTCGCGCTCCCCTCTTCCATCCCATGTGATCAAGATCTTGAGATACCCAAACTCCCCCACTGAGGCCTTAAGCCAAGATGGAGAATTCCATAAGGTAGCTGAAGACCAAGAGCTACATGAACCCTTAAATGAAAGACAGAGCAGCATCAGAAAATCCTGGATTCACAGGTTCCCGTGAAAAATCCCGCCTGTCAAGGGGTTCTCGGCATTTGTGTTGTGCTGGGGTGGCTGTTGGGAATCTGTTCCAAAAAAATTTGTGTTATCTTCAGGTACACGGAGATATGTCAAGCAGTGTTGGTGGTTGGCTGTGTTACAGGCACCTGAACCTGAGTGTGAGACCCAAGCAGCTCCCCGCTCTGGTGAGAAGTGGGGTCCCCGAGGCACTGAGAGGGGAGGTGTGGCAGCTCCTGGCGGGTTGCCATAACAACGACCACCTGGTGGAGGAGTACAGGACGCTCATCACCAAGGTAGGCCGTCTTAAGAATTCTCCACTTTGATCGCCGAGCTCTGCACAGCCCATAGCAGCTTTCACTTGGATGGGGGTTCTCTTCTTCTGGAAAATGTGTATTTCTTTAATTAGGAATAATTTTAGTGTGCTGTCACTTGGCACCCATTTGTCTTAGGTTATGCCAGTTCCACGTTGCCAATATTCCTTAATTATAGTGTGTATAAATATTTTTTTCCCCCAAATAAAGTCATATAATTAATTACTTAACTAATTAGGGGTTATTGAGTAATGGAGGCTAAATTATGTACTGAATGTGTTTGTCGTGGATGAGCCAGGATGGGGTGTTCTGCTCAGTTAGATCTTAATAAAAAGTTGTGCATTTCCTGTTATTGGAAAGCCCTTTCCAATACATGCTTTTCCTTTCCCCTTAAAAAACATGAAACGCAGTGCTCGTTTGCAAAGGAGAATTCGGTCTCATTAGATTTTACCTGGAGAAATAAAGAAGTGAACCTAATAATAAAGGATTTAAAAAATAAAGGTCCCAATGTATTAACAGGGCTAAGTTTTGCAAACGTGAGGTTAGGTTTTCATGGAGACACTCCTCTGCATTTGTGAGAATATCTGGGTTTTAATTGCCATGTTTTCTAGTATTGTTGAAACAGCTGGTTCCCAGTTAAAGTACTAAATCACCCCTTGAGTGACAATATTGAAACCTTCTGACAGAAAAGGGTTTCCACCAAGCTTTTGATCTGATTATTCCTTACTGTGCGGAGAGAAGACATCACTTAGCATCTGCGCTAAAGATGTGTGTTGTAACAGGGAGTCCCTTTGGGTTTGTGGATCTCTTGGCTTGAGGCTGATTTGTGTCAGTTTTGTGCAATTGCAAGAGGAATTGATCATTACTTCGCAGTGTTTTTTAATTTAAAAATAAAGCATGTGTGTATCGTCATGGTCGATGAGGGCAAATTTGTAACAAACCCAGACCTTTTTGTTTTCCAGTTTTAACGGAATGGTATCTCGAAAGATAGATTTGCAGTCGAATGTTTGCTGAGGCTGTCATCGGTTCTGTAGGGCAGTGGGTTTTGGTCGGTCCGAGATGCATTATTGGGGGGAATTTTTCTGATTTACAGCAGTGAAGGCACTGAGGCGTAACATGGGCAAGACTGGGTTTACACAGCGAAAAAAATTTTAATGGAGATCAGATAACCAACTCTTGATAACGATTGTGGTATTTTTACGATTTGTCTGATTTTTTTTTTTAAAGGAAAGCCAGTTAATTCAAAGTGGGGAAGATAGGATATTCAGACATGTGAACACATTCCCATGGGGGTTGTGTAATGTTTGCTGTGCACCATTATATTGCTGAACAAAGCTACACACATCGCAGTGTTGCACTGGCGTGACTGAGGAGGGTCAGCCCAGTTCAGATCTGGGGTAAGATGATGGGTAGAAGTAAAAAAAACTATTGTTGAGGAGAACAAGTAAATTATCTTTCTTGATCAGTGTTCTAAAATGCAAACACATTTGCACACAATTTCTGCGGTATAATTCGAATAAGAAATTTTGCAGGCATATGTTTCTGTTAGATTTGTATCTCTTTATATGACATTTGGGTTTGAGTTTTGTTTCTGTAAATGTGTACTGACAAAGATGGAAAATTAAGCAAAATGCCTGCTTTTTTCCATCGGTGGAAGGCCTTTTGCCTGCTCTTTTAAAAGTATCCAAAAAAGTGTCCTGTTCTTTTACGGAAAAACGCACATTTGGAGGTATTCATCTATTCGAGCAAAAAAAAAAAATCTCATTTCTGTAAGCAAAACCGTTTGTCTTATTGCTGTAGTAATAACTTTGGCGAAGGACAGAATCCTCACTTTGCTTCAAAACAAAGATGTTATAATTCCATGAAGAAGGCACCCATCCACATACCCAGAAAGCCTTTGCTTTTGGGCTGCGTCTTGCTTCATGTTCAGCTTCGCAATTAGCGGGAAGATGACCAAGTTTGATATTATCTTCACAGACGGAAAGGCACCGTCATTTAAATATTTTATGTCTTGCGTATTTCTCTGCTGTCGCTTAGACAAGCTCCTCTTACAACAAGACTAATGGATGGGCTAGGGGTTCTTTTAGTGTGTGTCTGAACAGGCACAATGCAAGAGCCGATATAGCAGACAAAAATAAATCCTACCGAAATCTACTTAATAATTTAGCAATTGAGGTACCATAAACAGTGGATTTCATAGCACGCACTGATCAGTTTACTCTCGATATATAAATATATAACTGTGTTCACTGATGGAGGGAGCCCACCTCAGCAAGTGGATGTTTAATTAATGCAGTGCAGTAGGGAATCTGCCTTTTCACAGAAATAAGTGTCTTTTATTTTATTTCTGTGCCTTCGACTTTTCCTCTACCATGTTTTTTTAAATTTAAAAGTGATTTTAATCCTGGATTTTAAGATATTGAATTATTTATTATTAAATACATATATTTGAAGTATCATCCCTCTGGTCTTGCATTTGGGATATGGGGCGGAGCGGTGGCACTGTGGCTCAGGATCTGTGCCTGTGGTTGGGAGGTTGCCGGTTCAAATCCCGCGGCCGGCAGAGGAATCCTACTCCTTTGGGCCCCTGAGCAAGGCCCCAACTGCTCCATGGGCGCTGTACAAAATTGCTGACCCTGCGCTCTGACCCCCAGCTTCTCTCCCTGTCTGTGTGTCTCATGGAGAGCAAGCTGGGGTATGCGAAAAGATGAATTCCTGATGCAAGAAATTGTATATAACTAATAAAGTGATCTTATGTTACATCTCGGCAAAGGAGAAGGGTTTTGGCTATCTTTGTATTGTTTCTGTTTGCTCCAGCAGGGTGTGCTGTTTGGACATTGCACGGCGCTTTAAATTTTGGTACATACTGACATGTTTTTAACAGCTCTGGAGTCTTTTCAAAGCTCATTAGAAACCCAGAGTAGTGTGACTGCAGTGCTATACTCTATAAAAGCGACTGTTGTCCTTCAAATAATTTTATAGCATTGGAGGTCACACAGCCGCTAATGACTCTGTGAGTCAGGCAGGGGACTGTAAAGAGAGATGAAACTACATATACATAACTAGAGAGGATGCTGATGGACCAAAAAATGAATAAAAGGATTCCCTAAATAGGGGAGATTTTATTAAAGTAGATGCAAAACGCATACAAAAAAGGTTTTTTGTCCTTTGTCCTGATGGACAAGAAATGAAGATTGCTGTATTAGAGAAATTTCCAAAATTGTTATTTCTTGCTGCTTTGTAGAGTTGATGGCTACACTACAGTGTCTGCTTACTGTTGCCACATCACAAGCTTGAGAACAACTATATCCGGGGCTCTCGGTGAGAGGTGAACGTAGAATAGTAATATACATGAAAGGAGGCTCTCATGATATTTCCCTGTAACAGTGCCTGACAAGAAACCTCACATATCAGCAGTAGGCCTACACTTGTAAAAATGTGTTGTATGCTTCAGAATTGAAATGTCTGGTTGGCAAATTGCAGGTGATGTTGGGTGTTGCGTTGGTTCATTCAGCGCACCGCGTTTCTGTTAATTTGATTATTACGTAATATTCTGATTAAAGTGGGTGGCACAGTGCAACATTGGTTGGCATGGCTTCCTCACAGCGCTGCGGCCTTGGGTTCGATTCCGGACCTGGGGTGCGATCTGCATGAGCTCTGTGTGTTTTCTCAGGTTTGCCCCAGGAGCCCTGACTCTCACCCCAATACCCAGAAACATACTGGCGGGTTAATTGGCTTCTGGGAAAATGTTGCCCCCATGTGAAAGGGCATGTCTGTGTGTCTGCCCGTTGCTTGCCAGGATAGGCTCCAGCTCTGAGCTGAAGGAAAAAGTGAGAAAGTGGATGGATGATGACTTAACCATAGTTATTAAACACTATCAGGACTGGTCATATTCAGGACATGATTAGGAGTGTTATTTCACATCAATCCCATGTAACCTATTATATAGATGACCAATTCTTATTATACTAGGGGTAAGGTAAAAGCAATCAAGTATCTATCTTGGATCATTTCATAGATAGGTCATGGATATTGAAGGCTGTAGGTTTCATGAATTTGTGTCTATTTTAGATGTGTTTGTTGTTGGGTTTTTCCCCCAAACTCGAGGTTTTGCCGCTGATGGTTATTGGCGTTTGCTGTGTCAGTGGCCCAGTTTCCTTCCTTCATCCAGCGTCGTAAACGAGCTGCTGATAGCTCAGCTCACCACTCGACTGACGCCGCTGATGAAACCAGGGTCTTGCTGTCGGTGATGGTTGAGTGGGCATACGGTATGTGTATTGGGGAGGGGTGGACAAAGATGCAGGTCTGGTATTCTCCTACTTTTAAATCTGCGTCCAGATTCTAACCCTGAACAATTTAAGCGGCTTAGATACCTTTATTCTGATGTATTTCTGTATGTTCTCATAGGGAATTTGCAGTGCAGCAGTTTAGATTCATATTCAAGCAAGACATAGGACCATAAGCAAAACAATACAGATAAAAACGGTCTGAAATTCCACTAATCCATTTTTACCAGGTGCCATAAAACGTGTTTGTGGTGTTGGCCCCAAGTTATTCAATAATAGGTTCTCAATTGCAATACATGTACAACAAGAGTCATTTTTGAATTATGCACATCTTCAGTTTGATTACTGTGCTCTTCCATGGAGATCTTCGCTTACTATTGGGATACATGTGTTGCTACATTTGTAGAAATCAAATCAAAGCGTATTTCTCACATGCACAACAATGCCGCGTGCAGCGGTAGTCGCTGGCGAGGGAATGCCTTTTCTGCGAGCTCACAAAAAGCAAGAATCACAAGAATCACAAAGTTAAGGTTACGTAAAAAAGAAATTGAAGAAAACTCCAGATGAATAGAGCTGCTATGTGTCCATGGTGTATGCGATATAGTAGGGCAGTTATGCTGAATACAGTGAAACCTGTGTGTCCATGTAGCCATTCCAGGTGATTTGCTAAAGGAGCTGCAGGTTGGCTACTTAGCA